CAAGAGCAAGAGCAAGAGCAAGAGCAAGAGCAAGAGCAAGAGCAAGAGCAAGAGCAAGAGCAAGAGCAAGAGCAAGAGCAAGAGCAAGAGCAAGAACGAACACGAACAAGAACGAACACGAACAAGAACGAACACGAACAAGAACGAACGAACACGAACAGACAAGACAGACAACTCACCCCTGAGGACATGCCGCACCCAAGGCAACGCTACCACTACGCATATAGCAGACCTTGGCGCTAACACAAGCAGAGCTCGTACAGTTAGGACTCTTGACGCTACCCTTTCCCTGGTACGTGTTGAACTGGGCGACGAGGGCGTGGTCGGCAGCCATGGCCTCGCTGACCTTATGCCAATACGTGGCGTTGAGGGGCGCATCGGCCGGCCAGTGCTCGCCATCGCCATCGGTGCCGACAGGGTAGACATCGCGGGTCGAGTACTCGAACTTCCACACCGGCCCGGTCGCGGAGGCGTTGATGCCGGCAAACGACGCGACGTCGGCATGGTACGTGTAGGCCTCGTAGATGGAGAAGTCGCCCGTGTCGACCTCGTACATGCGGTATCCGCTGTTGAGGTTGGTCAGTGGCGTGATGCTGGGGCCTATCCAGCCGACGTTGAGCGCGTGCTCGGCGTCCTGGCTCGTGCCGTTGTTGCCGTAATAGATCATCACTTGGTCCTCGTGCGTGTGACCGAAGAAGATGCCGGCCACCACGTGAGGAGAATATCGGTCGATGATCTGGTAGAACAGGTCTGCATGACAAAAAAAGGAGATATCATCATCAGAATTCAGAATACTACACGCTGACAAAGTGTCCGAACTTACCGGTCGGGTTGGGAAGGGGGTTGCTGCCATCCCATCCGGACAGAACGTGGCCGACAACCCAGACCCGTTCGCCTTTGTCTTCTGCGTCCTGGAGTTCCTGCGCAAGGAACTTAAGGATCCTGCTGTTGTCCGGGTTGGTGGTGTTTCTGGACCCCGTGTAAGCGAGTGAAAACTGCCACTGCCGTTGGGGTAGCTGCAGAATGAAAAAAGACCCCTCTTACATGTAGTTGAAGAGATTGCTGCGGTACCAGAAATCAGTGTTGATGGTGACGATCCTCAATTTGGGGAATCGTGCATGGTTGATACTGTAAGCCGCATAATGGGTGCGAGCTTGGTCGGCCGCCTCGGCACTGATCCAATTGTTATGCTGCCACAGCGAGGAGACGTGGTTCCAGTTCCAGGACCTTTTCAAGTTCGCGGTCAGTGACACAGTGTTCGCATATCTTGTCCCGGGGATGTCTCGCTTACTGCTGTTCGCCCAGCTTCCCTGGGAGAGAATGTGGTGAGTCGATCGCGTCTGATATTTGCCCGTTAGCCATCATAGTAATTGATCGATTCGAGGAACAGATCGACTCTCTTACTAGGGTTGGTGTCGTGATTTCCAAGAGCGGCAAAGATAGGTCCACTCGGCAGGTAGGCCTTGATCATATGCCAAATGGAATACTCCGCGTACATGGTGTAGTTCCTCGAGAGTTCATTCTGGCTTTCATGCGACACCAAGTCTCCAGTATAAATGCCCCAGGCAAATTGATCCAGATCGGTTTGGTTGTCATGCGTCGTCCCGGTCAAGGGTCCAATCGACTCCAGAGCCGACGTCAAGAGAAAGTAAGGACTGTCGCACGCGAAAGCGCCGTACAAGGGGGACGAAATCTCCAGTTTCCCGGAAGCGCTCTTGGGGTTGTTCGCCCGACAACACAGTCCGCTGGAGCAATTGGCCTCGGACCCGGGCGCGTACCGGGGATCAATGTGCATGTCACTCAAGTGCAGCACTTTGACTCTCTCGCCGCTGGGCTTGGGTACAGACACCTGTTTGGGCTTGGCGCCGAAGTATGAGGATGTGTCCGAGGGCAGCGTGTGTGGGCGAGGACAGAAGTTGCTGCTCAGATAATTGCAGATGTATGCACCGTCGGATCCAGTCACATTGGCCAGCGCAAGCACCTGAGCCCAGACGGCGCCGTAGTTCTCGGCGTCGTAGTTTCCATGACAGCTGTTGTTGGATCCAAACTTGGTGCTGATGCACAGGTCAACCAGCATGTCTGGAACCATCTGGGGAACCCGCTGAGCCACATACTGCCCGACCTCGAGCGCAAAGATACACTTGGAACAGTTGGTGCCGCTGCCCGAAATGATCCCATTGATCTGGTCGAGGGCGTCTGCAACAATGGCACTTCCGTTGACGGCGGCGAAACGGGGAGCGGGAAAGAAAATGGGGTCTTCATTCTCCTCGGGAATGTTGAACGGGTCTGTGAGGTGGAGAGGGTAGGTATAGTTCAGTGTTTCATCAAAAATGATAGGCTGGGGCTGGTTATGGTTAAGTTGGCAGCCTCATTATCAGAAAGACCATAGACTCACCTCCTCAGTGGGTGAAGGAGGGACGTAGTAGGCAGAGAAGAGACTGGTTGGAAAGCCGGCAGGGACAGTATATGCCAGAACTTGTGACGGGGACGGCTGGGCGTGAACAAGATGACAGTGACAGCACGTCAAGGCTGTGAGAGCGAGAGCCCGCTGGCAACGCATCGTGGGCAAGCAATAAGGCCGTAGAGGGAAGTATCTGGCGTTGAGGTTGACCTACCGCGGATGGCCGACGAATCCAATTTCCCAAACACGTCGCCATCGAGATCAAGAGGACGTTTATAAGAGGCAACGGCATATAGAGGCACCTCAGCCCAGCTGCACAGTGACGAGACAGCGGGAACAGGTTCGTGGTTCGTGGTGGTGATGGCGGTTCAATGAGCCGTTGTTGGTCCAATGTGTAACTCCGGGCCGTGCACGTGCCTGGCTAACCCAAGCGCGTCTAACTGTGTCCCGTTAAGACCGAGCGTTGGGGTTTGCCGGGTTCGAAAGAGAGCATCCTCGAGGCAAGTAGATGCAGATGCGCATGGAAGACCTGCCGATTCTCATTGGTGGCCGGTGGCCGGTGGCCTGGAGGAGGTTTGTCGCCATCCCCCAGCCGCTGCTGGTGCCGGTAACGCCGACAGGCTATCGCTTACACTTCCTCCGCCCAAGCATCAACTTCAGATTCTGAGCTTGCCCACCGATCTGGACACAATCTCTTCGTACTGTTCCATCCCCCGTTCAAGCCTGCGGAGGCCAGCCTTGCGCACGTGGTAGACGGTTCCTGGTGGGCCTGCACCCGACTCTTCGCCATCCCCGCCATCTTCTGTCTCTTCGTCCCTGTCCATCTTTTCTCCGTCGACCACACAGCGCATGAAGTGTCGGTCATGCGTGATGACGAGCAACGCGCCTTCCCAAGACTTGAGAGCTTCAATCAGCCCGTCAATGGTGTCTGCATCCAGATGAGTCGTCACCTCATCCAACACCAGCAGCTGTGGTGAAGAGAAAACGGCCTCGGCCAACGCCAGCCGGACCCGTTGCCCGCCGGACAGCATGGCCAGTGGAACATCTGTCACCGTGTTCCCACGAAGGCCAAGCTTGGCCAGCAACCCTCGTGCGGCTTGCTCGTCCCCGGTCCATCCGTCAACCTGCATCATGTAAGACAAGGCCGTCTTCTGGGCGTCTTGTCGGCCAACCGCTTCCAAGGTTTCGACGGCGTGCTGGGAATAACAAGCAAGCCGTGCTTTCGAGTGGCCAGTGATGGCTCCCTTGGTTGGTCTCGGTTCTCCGTTTGATGCAGCTGCCATCAAGAGCTTGACCAGAGTCGACTTTCCACTACCATTCAAGCCGACCAAGCCAACACGTTCACCGGGATGCATCACGAGGTCGACATCTTTCAATGTCCAGACGCCCGCTTTGGGGTAGGCAAAAGAGACCTTTTCAAAGCTGAACAGAGGGCCAGCATGCCGGAGCGGTGGTGGCTGATCAGGTAGCGTGATCGTCACTGGAGGGTCGAACTCGGGGATCTCAATCTCGGCCCGGTTCGACAGATGATAGCCTGCCAGGTCACGGTTCAGCTTGAACCTGCCACCATGTTGACCTACTTCCAGACCAGACCTCTCCTCCAGTTTCTTTCGGCGCGAGGCAGCCTGCTTCAACTTCTTGTCGTCACCCGTGCGCTTGGCCGCCTTGACGTTCTTGTTGATGGTGTCTTCCATGTGCTTGGTTATTTTCTCTAGGGCGTCCGACATCTTGGTCATTCTTCGAATATGCTTTCGTTTCTCCCCTTCATACTCGGTCAAGTTGCCCTTGAACACCTCCAGAGTCTTTGCCGGCACCAGGCGGACCAGGATCAGCTCCTCAGCCACAGCGTCGGCAAAGTCTCTGTCATGAGTGACTACAACAACCGTTGTTCGGGCCAAGGACGTCGTGATGTATCGTTCAAGCCAGATGATTGCTGGTAGGTCGAGAAAGTTGGTAGGCTCATCGAGCATCAGAACATCCATCCGCTGAATCAAGGCGCAGGCAAGATCGCACCGGGTTCGCCATCCGCCCGACAGTGTTTGGACTTGCTGTTTGATTTGTTCCTCGGAGAACCCCAATCCCAATAAGACAGTGTGAGCGCGAGCTTCGGTGCTGCCAGCATCCATGGCTTCAAGGGCCAGGCGCGTAGCTTCGAGCATATCGAGACCCGTCCTGATGGCTTCTTGCTCGTCTTCGGCGGATTGCGGACGATGGGAGCTAGAGAAAGGAAAGTCAATGACTATTGTTCGATTGAGTCACACCCTCACCGTCTTCGAGCTTCCTCCACAGCCTTCTCCTTCTCGATAAGTAACTGGCGTGCCTTGAGCCCTCTGGCACCACTTCTTCTCGCTGCTACAAGTTGTGCTTCAGCCAGTTCTTGCTGGGCTGCTTCGACCTGGAGTGATCGAACGGTCTGGACGATCTTTTTGGAATCCGTCTTCTCTTCTAGCGCGACGGAAAGATCTTTGAGCACGGTCAGCCCATCATACCCCAGAGAAGGGGCTGAGAATGGTTCAACATGCTTTTGGAGGCCTTTAAAGCACGTTCCCGGATTTGATCGCTTCTGGTTACGTGTTCAAGAACTGTGGCTGTTTGAGACAGGCCTTCCACTTCAACCGGATCTGATAGTGCATCTGAGCTGACACGCGTCTGTCCGAGGAGTAAAAGCCGGATATTGCTGGGGACGCCGGGAACTCGTTTCTCTGCCAGTGCCCGGAGCAGAGAGCTCTTGCCCGTGCCGTTCCGCCCCGCGAGTACATAATGTACTCCTTCGAGAATTCGAAGATGTGCGTGATCTAAGAGCTCACGACCACCAACCGAGAGGGACAAGTCCTTGACGTCGATGTCTTTCGAGCTTGGGGCATCGACAGCATCGACGTGGAAGCGACTTTGCTGGCTTGTCACAACGATGGCGCTATCTCCCGTAACTGCGGCTGTTTTGGACGGCCTGGATGGTTTCGGCATGCTGACTAACAAATGGAAGAAAGAAGACACAACAAGGAGAGTGAGTGCCTGAAGAGGAATGAGTTAGCAGCGCCCAATGGCTGAGGCAATGGGCCGAGGGACATCCAGCTAGGCCGTGGTATCTAGTTTTAGCTGTTGCCTTCTAGAGGGCATCTCCATCATTTTTGTATACACGACAGCAGGACAAATCTGTCTCCCATTAGCTGGAATGGCACAATTGGAAGCCACCCAAGACAGGCGATGAGGTCCGCGCTAGTAAGTCTAAGCGACTATGATAAACGGGCATGAGTCATGCCACGCAGCTCACCAGCCTCTCAACGACTTGATCATCAAGCCCGACAGGGGGGAATTGACATGGGAGTTCAAGCTCCCGAGCGGTGACTCAAAGTCCAGCAGAATACGATCGGGTGAGTCACGACGACGAATCCTGTCCCAGGTCAATTGGGATTGGTATATTCGTCAGGGATTGCGTGCTGGCATCGATGGTGTGGTGCCGCGCCCGCTATCTGTCACATCACAGTAGAACACTGATTCGGCAGTCGAAGGACTATCGCTTTGGGCTGACACGTACTCCGTACTGGGTTGATACATGTGAGAGGTGAGTAGATGTATTGTTACATGTAGGAAACGAGGACAAGGGACAAGGGACAAGACCCCATCTCTGCCGCACGTGACCGCCAAGGCCGGCGAGCCTGCGATTGTGATTCCGCTTCAATCGTCAATTGCCATTTGAGTGCTCGTCGCCGTGTGCCACTGTACATTGTATATTACCTGGGACAGACAGCGTCAACCAGTCGACCTTACTTCCTCAAGCTGTTCAGTCGCTAGCCGCGATCTGCGATCTGTTTCCCCATGGCGGCGGCTTTCCGGGCAAAGAAGCTCGACCTGGGCGGCTTCATCAACGTCAAAATCATTCGCGACCACACGAAGCGGAAAGTCTTCGAGCAGTTCGAACCTCAAAGGTACCGTGGCACCCGAGGCACCCTGCCTGATCTCCGCACCGCATCTTCTGAGTTCTGACTTGTGTTGCACACATCCAGGCAAGCACTACGATATATCATTCGAAATACCTCTCTACCCCAGCGGATGCGCACCCAAGCTCAGCTCCAGTTATCCCAGATGAGCTGCTACACCAGACCGACCCAGATCAAGAACAGATGTACAATGGGAGGCGTGGGGAAGGGTGTCTTGAGAGCCTTCAGAATGGGTCGGGTAAGTCTCAGTCCAAGGCCCCAATCCCAAATCCACGTCGGAGTTCACCCTCAGACGAATACCACGGCTCCAAGGGCCAGAACCTGGGTCACCGTACCGATGGTGCGCTTTTATGTGTTGTCCTAACTCGATGTCTTGCAGTTCCAATTCCGTATGAATGCGCTGGAGGGAAATCTTCCCGGTGTCAAGAAAGCTAGTTGGTGAGCGGTTGAACAGATTTCGGATCAAGTTCGACAATGGCATGGGTGGGATGGCGTTGGCTTGTACGGATGCAGGTGTTAAAACATTACATGGGAAAACCTACCATTTCAGAGGCGCGATGTCTGCATGGCGGTATGGAATTCAACACTTGGATTTCTCTCTGAGCAGCCCTTTCAATTGTATTGATTCATTATCGTGTCTGTGAGACGAGTTTACTCCGCATGAAGCCCTTGTTGTCTTGTATCGGAGGTGAAGACTCAAACCAATCATGTCTTGCTTATGGATAGTGCACTGCTCCAGCCTCACACATGGCATTGTCTCGGTTCCTTCGCTCACATTACGTCCCTTACTCACCACCATCTCGACCACCCCGAAAGCGGCGCTTTGGTTCTTCTTCATCCAAGCTAGGATCCAGCTTCAGCCGCTCGGTAAGAGCCGCAATTTCCAAGTCCACCTGTCGAGGAGGCGTTGCCTCGGAGCCCGAGTCAGCTAGAATGGCGGCTTCAAAGTCATCGAGTTCATGCTTGGTAGGAAGGCTCGTGGCAAAGACGGCTCGCGCATTACCTGACCTCGAAGTGGTCGCCGATGGTCCACGTCCGGCAGATTCTGTTGGCACATCGACGGGGTCGTTTGCTCCATCTTGCGCCGGATCGTCCAATGGTAGTCCCATACTCCCCATTGCGACATCTTCGTCTTCCTTCTGTAGAGTGTCCTCCTCCAATCTGGCCTTGACGACCATCGCAATCAACGCTTCCATCGTGTATCGGGCATCGTTGCCGCCATTGTGTGGGAAATAGCAGGGAATACCAAGGTCGTCTAGAATTGACGACAAGCTGCGGGGTTGGGTCTCTTGCTTGAGTACGCGGTACAAAGGGGCGGTATCCAAAGCCTCGAGGATAGAAGCTAAAATCTTCAGAGGGGCTTCGTCAGAACCTAGCACTTCCATTGCTGCAACAGGGTAGGTCCCTCGGGAAGGTCCAAAAATCTTGCTGCCCAAGGTTCGCAAGTACTCGAGATCACTTCGGATGTCATGGCCGAGAAGGATAATGTTGCGCTCCTTGGGGCCTTGTTGAAGGATGTTCGGATCTGGTCGATTCTTCTCGGCAAGATCGAGAGCAAGTTTGATGGCGTCCGGATCGCTAATCCCCTCCAAAACACTCGCCATCGCTGCTCGATTGGCTTCAGCCTGCTCGCTATTTGATGGTCCGATGCTCACGCCATCCGATCCCGAAGAGCGCTCTTTGGAGTCGAGCTGTTCGCCCGTTGGGCTGGTTGGCGCTGAAGTCCAGGTATCGGACGAGCCTGGATGCTTGAATTGTACAGAGAATGGCCATTCAAAACAGCTGTCGACTTTGGCAGCAGCTTCACCAAGTGCGACGAACTCTGATCGCCCAAACTGGAATGCGTCGGGATTTCCAATGCAGAAATCTCGATTGACAAAGTGTTCCCGGCCCTGAATCCTGAAGTGTCGGGAGCGGATCTGGCTGGTCCAAATCTTGCCACCTTGACCGGGGGGAAGCTTCACAAGATCAAGAGTGTCCAGGGTACTGACTCCAATCTCAGTGATGATTTTGTGATCTCGTTCGTACGATTCGATGTCGATCGAGATGATGACCGGCTCTTTCTCGATTGGATATGGCGCTGGAAGATGGACATCCAGCGGATCCAGAACTATGCGTGCCTTCTTGAGTTGTTGCCGACGGAACTGCTCTTGTTCAGACCATGGCATGTTTGGATCTGGATGCTCGACTACCCCTGCTTTCGGGCGTAAGCCGAGATATCTTTGACATCTCCTCAACTGGGAATACCAATCTCGAATGGTGAGCAGACGATCCTCTTCTTTCTTCTTCTTGACAATGTGATTCTTTTTCTTGTTCGCGGCTAGGGCATCTCGGCATCTCTCTCGGAAAGCGTCAAAGTTCTTTTTGACGTCGGGTGCTGCACTGTCGGAACATTCGCCATGATCCGCAGACGCTGGAGGGATAAAGTCCTGAAGTTCCCCGGCCTTTGCTCTCGACTTAGATGTACCGAGCAACTTTGGCTGAGGGGTGCCGTCGTCGTAGAAGGTGAGAGTGAATGGATACCCGGGCACTGACACCGGTACCTTGAAGGTTTCACTGATCTCATCGACGAGTTGTTTGAACTGTGCGTGAGGAACCAGCAATATAGGCTTCGAACTCAGCGAATACGGTGGGTCAAGATAGTAGCTATTGGTCAGAGGTTAGTTTGCCTGTATACCAGGAAAACGCAGACACCATGAAAGCGAACGTATCTTATTCCAGCACAGACAATGACTGATTCACTTACAGATCCCATGTCCTCTCGTAGAACTTGTTGGCCGCGAAGAAGCGTCTCGAAACTCTGTCGTTGCTGTCATTCATGTACTTGTACGGGAATTTTGCTGCGAGGGAGAACTGGCAGAAATGATCGGTGGCAGGGTGTCCTCGTGTATCTGAAACTGGCAAACTGTCCTCACACTCGTCTGATGCACCGTCCTTCGACTCGCCGTCCGTTGCTTTGAACTTTGATGACACCTTGCCCTTCGCAATATATTGAATGGGCCCTTCGCCTTCGACAAGGGACTTCTTGACCTCGCCACATGTCTTGTGTTCAGGCATTTTGCGCGGGTGCGGCCTCTCAGGATTCTTCATCGAAACCTTAGGTTTAAAGGCTGAGACATAGTCGTCTTCTTCGTCAGAGCTCGTGAGGCAATCAACGTTCCTCGCGGGATTCTGTGGTGACTTGACCTGACGGGGATACTGTGCAGTCGAAGGGATGCTCCACGATCGCTGATCTTCGGCTTCCTTCTTCTCAAGTTCTACCTCAGAGAAGTGACGCTGACCAGGAACTGGAGGGGCCGGTTTAGAAAGAAAAGCAAACAGTTGACTGAGGCGATCTTGCGCAGCAGTACCCGGCGTTTCAGCCATTTTGCAAGGGTTCCGATCTGACCAAGAAGACTTGAGTCAAATTCCGTTGACTATGAGTTACCTCTGAGAAGATGTAGACCTGAATTTACTGTTTCAACGAAGAATTTGTTTCAGGGGGACAGATTGTGGGTGAAGGAGAAGCAGCGTTCGTGAGATTCGTTGCCCTGACCTTGATGGGCAACGCAGGTACATGCGACAGCTTCTAATATTCCAGGGGCCACTGTGGGAAAAGGCAGGAAGGTGAGGAAAGTAGTGTGAGCAGAATTGAAAGGAGAACAAGAGATTGAAAGCAGGCAAGCAAGATGCGGTCAAGGTCAAACCAAATGAAGTGTTTGTCACTCAATTGACATGCAATGAGACTTTGGCAGGAAACAAGGCACAATGTCATTCTTCGGTGAGCTGGAAATTGGTCACTGCAACTCCGAGTACTTGTACTTGAGCGAGTGACCTGTATGGTCCGAGAAGGTAGAGAGGTACCAGGTATGCAAGATACAAGGTACGAGTACATGCCTGCATCTCGCCCAAATCTGGACAGGAGCATTGCCAAGAAAGCGCAGCCATGGCCCCTCGCTGAGCAGCGACCATCAACACTTGAACTCAGCTACACTTCTCAATGCATTGATGTCTAGAGTTCTCTCTAAACATGCATTGCGTGATCAAAGCTGTTGCCACGCGCCCTCCGCCTTCAACCTTCGTTTGTCAGAATTCATACCAGACGAGACGAAGCCGAACCTTTTCAGCCCTCCTTACGCTCTTCACCCATCAACCTAGCCACCCGACTGACATACAGACCTACCCAACCATCCATGACGTCGCACGACGCAAACTACCTGTATCTGGACGGCACAACTGTGAAAGAGGAGATCATTGGAGTGGGTAGTGCAGGCATTGTCGTAATTCGAGAAGGATACGCCTTTAAGATCCCTCGGATATCGAAGTTGGTCGAAATTGACGGAGTGCCTCATGAAGAGACCTATGGCGAGCTCACCGTTGCTATCATGTCTTTTAAGAACGAAAAAGCTATCTACAAAAGGCTAGGTGACCATCCTGGGATCATCCGCTGTTATAACGTCGACGACTCCGAAGATCCCTCAATCCAGATGCCGTTGATGAATGGCGACCTACGGCATTATCTAGACGAGATCCGGCCAGAACGGTCTCGCCAGTTCTCCTGGTTACTTCAGTTGGCGCGTACCATGGCCTTCGTACATACTAAACGTGTTGTTATCTGCGACTTGCGGCTTGATAATATCGTGTATGACGATAATATGAATATCAGACTTATTGACTTCTCTGAATCTTCTTTAATGCACCCCGAATGGGACCTCAAAGGCTACGACAAATATGGATGTTCTATTCTAACCGATATTGGACAATTTGGGGCAGTAATGTTTGAGATCGTAACTGGTCAATATTGTTCATTTGATATCTATGAACAGTGGAAGGAAGTGGGGGATCCGACGACTTGGCCTCGACGGGAGACACTGCCGTCAACAAGCGAGGTATGGCTGGGATCTATTATCGAGAAATGCTGGACCAAGGGATTTGCGTCGGCTGGGGATCTTGAGAGGGAGCTTGAAAAAGAGAACATCTGCTAAAACAGGGGGAGACAAGGAGTTCTTCGACGTCAAAGACCGAAAATTCAGCACATTCGCAGTGAGGCGCTTTGTGCTCGATATTGCCGCATGAGATTCCGGAGTTAACATCGGCTCATTCATTCCGGAAAACCTTAATATGAACGCGCTGCAAGGACCGATCGCGGGCTGTCGACGCAGGTGAACTCGAGGCACGACCGAGGTACAAGCGGCTTCCTGTGTTGGGTGGAGGATCACATTGAAATACTGACTACGAATACAGCTGCCTTCCCACGAGAGATTTTCTCACCCCTCCTTTCGCGTGTTACCGGTCGTCCTCGACTTCGACCTCGACTATCGACAGTGAAAAAGAGAAAGACGGGACTTGGCAAGAGCAACTGGAGCAAGAGCAACTGGAAGTCCGATGGCCTTACTGACCCGAAGGTTCTGTTTGGCCGATTTAGCGAAATCCGAGCCTCACAGAAAGTGGTGGCAGAAGTTCAGTCAAGAATGGGGTCTGCTGAAACGGCGTGACAGCAGGCAAAGAGAATCAGGGTGAAGAGAAGGGCAGCGGCGTTGAGGATGACGGACCAGGAACTCGCTTCTGCGAAAGACAATGTCGCGCAAATACCTGGCGATGAGGAAACCGAAAAACTCGTGATGGCTATATGATTTACATGTAGCCGAGGAAGCCATCGGTCCTTGCAGCCTCTGGACTGCTGAATGGCAATCCAGGCACCATTGACAACCTCAAGTATGAATGGACAAGAAGGAAGGACCCCCGAGTCAAATGGACAAAGGAAACAAAATGGGTTGTCGATGGGAATGTCTGGACTGACGGTGGAGCTGTGGCAGGTATGGACATGGTTGCTCACTGGCTAAGGGAGAACTATGGCTTGGATGTTCTCATCAACGGTGCTGATTGTAGCAAATCAGAGAATCGTTTCTTCGGACTTGAGACCAGCCCATTTCCAGCATGCGTCCCATAGTCTTGCTTGAACTTCGGGATCTCTGCTCATGGCAGCAGAATCACCTAGTTTGCAGCCAACATAGTATCCTCTCTTTCCCTGAAACTGTGCTCCAACACTGACTTCGACAAGGTCCCGCGCCGCATCGGCTGTGGGTCTGAACATTTGCGTAAAATGCTTCAAAAGAGGCATGCAGAAGTTCACGGCAGCCATGATTCTCCTGACACTTTTTCTCTGTTCGGCTTGAGCTCTGGACGCGGCGAGACCGCCAGGATCCATTGCAAGTGCCGTCAAGGCCGATAGTTCTGGATTCTGTTCGCCGTCCAATGTCAGCCATCCAGTCGAAACAGTTGCCAATCATGACGCTACAACACTTTGACATACCGCTTGAAGTCTCTTGTTCAAATCATGCATGAACGTCACATTGCAGAGTTTGCCCGTCCCGTATCGCTGTTGTCCTCGATCATGTGCCTCTCCTGGACGATCTGGCTTCGGCCTCGCAAGACCTTCGATGTCTGCAGGGATTTCTGGTCGAAAGGCTGACATGGGGTTTGCTTTCTCGGGGTAGTGTGTTATTGAACCCAGCATCACAACACGTCCCGAGGTCATGTCCATACTCCTCAGTAGCTTCAGGACCAAGAGATAATGCGACAGGTGAGTGACCTGGAAAGTGGCTTCAAATCCGTCTGATGTGAACTTCAACCCGGAGACCAGGGACCAGACGAAGGCATTGCATACTATGGCCGAGAGTGGTGGGAGCTCTCCTCGACTGATCTGGGTGGATAGTTGGTCTGCGAAGCTACGCACTTCTGCCAGCCTGCCCAGGTCGAGTGATCGGATGTGCACCTTGGCTCCTGGGTGTTCTTTGACTATTCGCACAAGGTTGGCCGTGTTCGGGTCAGACTTTGGCGAAGGATCTCGGACAGTTCCGACCACCGTGTACTCAGGGTATGAATCAAGAAGGGCTCGAACGAATTCAAGGCCCAAGGTGCCGTTGGCTCCGGTGATTAGAACAGTGCCGCCCATTCTATCGATCTGGGAAGAGGTAGTGAGGGGAAGTAGGATAGATCAATACAATCCACATGGTTTTGATTTCTGGAAAGCCTATCTTTATATACTCTCAAGGGCCACACTTCCAATTTTTACTCCACGGTATTCTTGTCTTTAAGAAGTGGATCATACCGACATCAGAGCAGCGTCAAGGGAGATTTACCCAGGCACCTAGGTAGGTACCTTAGGCGTGTAGAAGTCCAAAAAGAGATTAGTTTCTTCCCAATGCGGAAGGATCAAGACTTGGCGGAAACGATGCCATTTGTCAGCCATCCACTCTCGGGCACATAGATAAGGTACATGTATGTACTCTACGACTCCTGCTTCCTTTAATAGGATGCCCTGAGCCGACCCCGAGCTGACAACTCTTTGGATATCTCGAAATCCAAAAAGAGACTTGTTGCTTCCCAATGTGGAAGGATCAAGGCTTGGCGGAAACGACGACATTTGCCACTCAGGCCCTCTACGACTCCTGTTTCCTTTACCCTGAGCTGACCCTCTTTGCATATCTCATGCATCAGAGAAGACAGTCCTCCCAAGGAAGCACCAGGCCACCCTGTGATAAATATGCTGCATTTCGTCCATGAGAGCCCCGCCGACAATGCCTCCGCCAGGAGACAGCAGCGGCGAGCGGCCCGCTCGCATTCCGCGCGAGCCACTCACAGAGAAACCCGGCAGCACGAGACGATGCAGTACCAGTCAAAGCAGTTGCATACAAATCCCAAAGCCTTGAGTGCCCAAAGCATTTACTCCGAAGATATGACAAGTCTTCGTTTCATAGCCGCCATGCCTGCGGGTCGAAAAGACCCGTTTATGAGCTTTGTCCGGCCTTTCAAGCCCATCGAGCATTTTCTCCTGGACTATTGTACGTTTGCGCCAGCTCCTCATGGTCCGAGTCTATGACACGAGGCTGATGCTTGACCTCTTCTTACACCATCCACAGATGTCACAGTCGTCGTTCCCTTTTTGCGCTGTCAGGAAGACATCTCCATTTACCAGGATTCCATGACCAAGAGGTGGGTGCCATTCGCATTGAGAGAAGGAGGACTTCTTGACGCCGTCTTCCTGCTGGCTTGTCGACATATGTACCTGAGTCATCACAACTCGCAGCAACAGCAACAATTTGTTCAGCTTGCCTGTCAATACAAGCTCTCATGCACAAAGTCGTTGAGAGATGCCATCTCGAACGAGGTCGTCTTTAGTGACGCCACAGTCGGAACAACCCTGATGCTAGCATATGACGAGGTAAGAAAACAGACCTTGCACAGACTCCTGCAGCCAGGCCAGGAAGCTCACAAACAATGATATAGCTGGTCGCCTCTGACATTTCTATGTATAAAAATCATATCAAAGCTGCTGTGAGAATGGTCAACCTAAATGGAGGACCGCAGACTCTTGGTCTAGATGGATTCATGGAACATCTCATCTCGAACCTCTGTGCCAAGCACAAGCTGTATGATCAGACTTAGAAAGACGATGGATACCGAAGGAAACGAACTCTGCCGATTCTCGTATACATTGTACGACGTACTTAGTACCTAGTACATAGCCCGACACTCTTAGGCCCCGTCGATAAATAGCAAGTCCTCCGTAGAATCAATCACAAGAGAAGAGATGTAACCAAGACTGTCTTACATAAGCAGATCTGAATTGTCGTGAGCAATCATGTGACATGACTATTATTCTGCCATCTGTCACCGCCTTTCGGACGCGGACGTGAATTGTTGGCATGCGCGGTTGATGAATGATGCAGGACACACCAGAAGTCGCGATTCCCGACCACATCATTAGCCGGAGTATTTCGAGCATGACGGCCTAGGCTACGGATGGCCCATTCGAGACACTATACGCATCCCGAACTCAACTTGGATGTACTTGTCCCCCCCTAAATCCGACGACGGTCCTTCCCTCCTTACTCCTTCACCCTGGCCGAGTCGATGCGCCGGCCACTGCACCATAACAATCAGCCTCGATGGTGACGATGGCAGATATTGCCAGCGATCGCGCTGTCGATCCCGACGCGCAGGCCGCTGTCACAGACTTCCTGGACTACACGGAATACCTCCCTTCGGACCTGATTCGATCTCTCACGTTGATTCGCGGCCTCGACGAAAGGTACCTCGACGATGTCGACTCTGTCAACGAGCTCACCAAGATCTACGGATCACTTCCTTCCATGACGCCCGCTGCTCGACCGGATGTGTACGAAATGCGCTCGCAGATATCGACTCACTTGGACCATGCGCTGAACGCCCGAGAGTCGGCATATGCTGAGGCATGTCGGATGTTCGATGTGGTGGACCGACATCAGAACCGGCTGAAGAGCATCATAGCCAAATTACATGCAATCCCGAAACCGCCGTCGCGAGATCCAAGCCCTCAACCCCAACAAGCCTCTACACAGCCCAAACGGTCCCGCAGCGGAAGGAAGCTTGAGAATGGTCCTTCAACCAGACTGACTCTGATCCCTCCTCGGGCGAACACGGTCGCTTCCGCATTACTCAAAAGACCTCGCGGCCGCCGTGTGACTGTCCCCGGAGAGGTCATGCCACCCTACGATCCGGACTCGCCCCTCGCAAGTACAGAAGTTTCAGACTGGGAATCCCCCCCACCTTCGCCCCCCCGGCCCGTGCTCAAATTCAAGCAACCAAAGCCGCCCGCACATGTGTTACACGCAATAGAGAAGCCTACCCCGGCAGCAGAGAAGGCTCGTTTGGCAAGAGAGACAACCGAGTCCTATCGCAAGCCTACCCCTCCTCCCGAAGATGCCGAGATTGGGAGCAAGTACAAACCTTGGACACATCTTACAGAATATGAGATGTACAGGCTGAGAAAGAAGATGAAGAAGAACCACGCCTGGGAGCCTAGTGATGTTATGATCAGACGGGAACTGGCCGATCGAGGACGAGGCTGGGAGAACTACTACCGAGCCAAAGCGGAAGCCCAAGCAAATGGAACACCTTTTATCGATATCGATAGTGTCGAACGGCTCGGACCCAAGGTCGAGAAAGGCGACAAACTGGAAAAGGTGGAAACCGTGGAGAACCCCGAGCAGACAGAGAATGCGGAGATTGGGGAAAGGCGCGACGAGTCAGGCAAGGAGCCGGAGAAGGAGCAAAAGTCGGAGGCTGGCCCGGTGGTCGGTGCAGTTCCCCCGCCCAGTGCAACTCCTGCTCCAAAACCCAAGGCTGCGAAGAAGAGTGAATCAAGAAAAGACAAGAAGTTAGACCCTGCCCGGTCACAAGCAGCACTTGCCGCTCAAGAGGCCGAGCTCGCTGCTCGACGACTAGGGGACATTGGGTCGAAATTCCGCACTTTGTTCACCACACCTTTCGCATCAGCCCTTGCTTCTTTAAGTCGAAGTGCAGCGAGTACGCCCACCACTAATGGAACGGTCAGTGTTGGGAAGAAAGCTGCGGACAAAACCGGTAGAAAGAGGAAAGCAGAAGACACGCCAGCTTTGTCGACTTCACCATCTGCGGAGCCTGATGTGGCGAGAAAGAAGCAAAAGATTGCCCCGAAGCCATCACCACTTGCACTGAGTCCTGTTGAAGTTGTCCCATCTGCTCCAACCTCAGCGGGTAGTGAACCGGCGCGCACGAGCGCAGGCACCATCAAAATCCCGTTGAAACTTACCGTCTCCGCCGCAGGCTCGCAACCGTCCAAAACACCTACTCCTGCACCGGCAACCCGAGCGGGAAGCGTTCAACTCACTTTGGTGGCGCCGAAGACCGAGTCGACCCCTCCTGCGTCTTCAAGACCACCATCGCGACGATCCACCGCTGCGTCGGTTGAACCACAACCGGCACGATTTAGTCAGCGTACCTCGACGACCCCTTCAGTGGCCGGCCAGAGGCTCGCGGCGGGCGAAACCAGTCCCAAAGGCGCGGTCACCGCAGCAGGTCGGCGCAGCAAGCGTGATGCGCCCGGAACTGTTATGCAGTCAAGCCAGGATGGCGGGGCTGCTGTGAGTGTGAGCAAGCGGCGAACGAAACCCGTGAAACCGCAGAAGCCGACACCGAAGCCTGCAGCCTTAGTTGCTGCCACCTCGCCAGATGTGCCACAGATTCGCATCGACGTCGACGGCCGCCAGGAGATTGTCGATCCAGATGAAGAGCGGTACTGCGTGTGTGGAGATGTCAGTTGGGGAGAGATGATATGCTGTGAATTCGATGACAAGGTATGTTCCAACTCCCCCCAGGGTCTGCTTTATTTTCCTTTCCCGCCTTCAGAAGTCTATCGTATACTAACCGGAGCTCCTGATAGTGTGATTTTGGACAGTGGTTTCACATGGAATGTGTCGGGTTGGTTGAACTTCCACCGCGCACAGTCAAGTGGTACTGTCCAGGCGACCGAAAGAAATTTCACAGGGGGGAGAACAGCAACGGACTTGTGGGCAGAGGTATTAAGTAGACCGAGGTCGATAAGTGCCCGTGAGTCCATGGTAAAGCTGCTAGGCCAATTGAAAGAGCAAGGAAGAGTTGGTGTATCAGGCTGTACGTTTATTGCCGGCCAGGTCGGTCGAGCTGCTTTGTTCGATATGTATCTATGGCTGCATTCTTGCAAAGACCCGTATCATAAGCGATGGACAAAGTATGGCTTAGCCAAGAGCGCTGGAATGCTACAGAATCAATCTGTATACATTGTGGAGTTTCGAGCATCCCCGGGTTTCTCTTTCAGAATGCGCCTAAATACCTATTGCTGTAAGTATCTTGAACCCCGAATCAGGGCTGTCTGCCAAATTCGGAGGGATAGTATACAGTACTGGTAGCGCCGATACTAGGGCCCAAGAATCGTCAGCTGGTGTATTGGGAGCTGCTTGCGGGGTCGACAAGAAAGACCGGCCAGCTGCTCCGGGATGTCTCTATGCATAGACTGATAGTTGGCCTGAGTTGGACCGAATGCAGAGGAGGGCTGTCCTTCGATGCCTCCAGGCGAGGTGAAGAGAAAGCCACAGGAAACGCCGAAGGAACAAGTCGGTGACAGGGCGGACAGGTACTGGTACGTAGAAGCGAAAATCGGACGTGTCAAATGCAGTCTTGCAGCAAGTACCTCGGACAGCAGATTTGCCGCTGTCATGTACCTTGGATCTTCCGAATCTGGTGGTAGCGTGTCCAACTAATTACTGGTAGAGTGGTTGCTTGAGGGAACAGTCTAGGTGGTCTTCCGAGACTCAGAATAGATGATGCATCAGACCAGAAGTCGAACCTGAATCTTAATGATATCCAAAGCATGTTTCACAGCGGCTCAAGCGAGAGGCGGGCATGGATGCTGCGACCCGGTTTCCCGGTCAAAGACCAAGCTCGCTCCAAACCAAGGGAGGTTTTTCAAGGTCATCAAGGGTCTATCGGCTGCCCGACGTCCGGGACCGTTCTTAATGTATTATATCGGAACCCTCGAAGCGACATACCTCCTGGGCAATTAGGCCAGGCGGCGAAGTGGGTGTTCGGATGTGTAATTAGGCCGTAAGTTGGTGGATGCTCATGGATGATCGCGCATCCGTACAACGGGGAGCAAGAACCCTGCAGCTTGGGCGCCAGCTAATGCAGGTACACAGAGCCTTAGACCGTTCCGAGGTTGCTGGCTAGATAATTTCCGAGATCAAGCTGACTCCTAAGGCCTGTTGGAGAAAACCCAGCAGCCAGGGCGACACATGGTCAATTATTGCAGACGACCTCTAGCGAGCTAGACAGTACTATGTCAGGACCGGAAGCCCGCCTTCTTGCTCCCCGTTTGTTTGATCAACATCTCATCTGAAAATCTCATGTTCTCGCTCGCGGAAAGGAGATTCAATCCAGAAATGCTGGCATCGCGCAGGTGCTCTGCATTGGCGCTCGACATCCAGACTCGTGGAGAGGTATCGCCGCCGGAGCTGTGCCACGACAGAGGTTGATGTACTCCGTACGGATAGCAATGATTTCCCTCTCGTTCTCCCTTCAGGACACTAGCAAACTGTGTGGGTGGGTGCCGGGCTTAGGAGGCTAACCTTCCGTGGCGCGGATCCTCTGCTGTACTCTGTAACGGGGCCAGGACGAAGGGGCCCAAGTTGGCCGAAAGCCTCGTGAGATCCCTGGCCCGCCACATGGATTTAGTTTCTACAACAGGTTCCCACAGTGGCCCCAACCGACCGGGGTTGCAATGCAACCGCTCATAGACGCGCTGAGATGTGATGGAAGAATGTTGGACGTAGCAACAATACATGAAACACGCAATAACGAGCTTTTGAAAATGCTGGGGCGATTGAGGCGCCATGACCTTGGACCAGAGATTCTTTCGGCGCCTTTAAAGAAGTGCACTGGTGCAAGTAGTCTGAACGTCGCCCAGAGGTCCTGATAGCGGCTCGATGTTGGATCATTCAGCTCTGAAAGGGTTGGATACGCAAGATGTCCGTCTGGCCTGGTGGCAACATGTTTCCAGTTGGACCCATTGCGTGCCTGGCTCACCGTTCCTGACGGGTCGATGGCTGAGTCGAGGGGTTGGATTGACCAGCCTTAGGCTTAGCAGGCCTACTACTAGTAGGCGGCGGGCGGAAGAGGCAGCCTAAGCCCAGCTGCCGGGGTTCTAGCGTGGTTCTAGCTCACACAATGCCCACAGGCGTAGTTGGGGTATTAGGGGAATGCAATCTTGAAGCCAGGTTGATTGTAGGGGCCAGCACCGGGCCGCAAGTTCCGGAAGGTAACGAGGGAGGAGAGGCGGGCTGAGGACTTGCTGCCTCCAGCGCCAGTGGGACCACCGGTGGACGGATGATTGTGGTTGATGGAAGAGGTTGATTAACATCGATGGGTCGGCTGCGGAAGCAATGATTCAACCGTAGAAGTCTGTACATGGTAAGATGAGCGAGAAACTAATGATACATGTAGTGTAGTAATCGATACCAGCAGCGGAAGTGGAAATCCTCATCCGTAATAGGTAGAGAGCAGTTCAACGACAGTGTTGCTAACTAAGGTAGTTCCAAGCTGAGGTGTGCAATAATACCTACCTTAGGTATGGTTGAACTTCAGGTTGACCATGGACGTGCCTGCGGCCTGCGGCCTGCGCCCTGCGGAACCGTTGAGGTTCAACTTTGCTAGTGAGCTTTATCATGCCAAGCGATGCCTCACCACCTCCAGGGCGTATCTGGTAGGACTGGCTGGCATGCGCCGACCTTCTCTCTGACACCAGGGACTAAGGTCAGCATTACTATGGACTGGTGACCATTTTGCTACCAGAGCGCTTCAAAGATACCGCAAGACACCGCTCCACCACTTCGTGTACACATAGTCTCTCTGCCATGGCGATCACCCAACCGCCGACTCGATACTCAAGAGTGACCTAAATCCAGTGCTTGCTCTCGATCCGAAAAGCAACGCTCGGACTGTCCAAGATTGTTCTCCCTTGCATCGACCTAACGCCGATCGAATTGGCTTCCGTTCGATACCCGAAGTTCCCTTAACACACCAAATCGTATCCGATGTATCCATTGACGGCATTTGACACAACTGTCAGCTGTCAACTACCTGTCAGACAGCGGTATAGATGTCCTGTTCAGTCCATTGCTGGAGATGAACAAGCGATTAAGTTCTCATGTTGGAAGAATTAAGAGACGGCTTCTAATTCGTTCGACCATGGTGGACGCTTGTGCAGGTACCGGCAACCAAGTGGCCGACTAAGGGGCGGAAAGGTGACGAAGAGGGAAGTAAGTGTGTGGACGATCAAAAGATAAACAAGCCGGGGTATGGACGGACGCGAAAATGGAACAAGGGCCAGACAGAGGTGCCGTAACACTGGCATCAGCCATTTCAGCGACCAGCACTAGCTACAGATTGTGTGGTAGTAGTCGCGAACACTGGACTGGCGCCAAAGGCCCCTTGGCCACCAGCGGTATCGATACACACACACCACACACGGGGCTCACAAAAAGAGCGCTCGCAGGTACAGCACATCGCTCCTGGTTGGCGGTTTGGAGAGGAGAAGTGATGGGAGACATGAGGATAACTGAGAGCCCAGCGCTCCATACAACGGAGGAGGGTTGTTGGGATAGCTGAGTTACAGGACGGACTGGCTGGTGTTTTTTTTGAGGACAGCAAATGAAGTGCCAATCCATTGATGCTGGCCCAGGCACTGCTGGATGATTGACTGCGACCAGATGTTTCTAGGGGTTCTAGCCTGCCTCGTCAACAGCCGAACGCGCATCCGCGGGTTCATCTAATAATTAGCAACTGCTACTAGGCAGCAACTACTACTAACTACCTACTGGTCGTAGTGTGGGTTTGGAAAACATTATTGCCCGCGCTGGCGGCTGGAACTGTCCCTCCCTTGATTCAGGTTCCCCCCGGTCACCACATCCTACTCCGTACACTACAGACAGAGTAGGTAGGTACCTGGGTCCTGAGGAAGCAGGTAGGTTTGCATCCGCAACAGGCCACAGCACTGAGCACCCTGCCACAGCTCGCCAAACATCGATGTGATGGCTGGCTCTGGCACCGCTGACACATTCTTAGCCCACACCCTCTCCTTTCTCGTCTACCGCGGGTCAGCCACTCGACCCTCCCTACCCGGCGTACTGGACAGGCGGGCCCCTTAGCCCGCACCCCCCTGCGATCTCTCTCTCGAATTCTCCTCTCCCTCCAACACCCCTTGGAGACCTGTGTTCCGGATTCCAAAAAATCTGGTCGATGCTTTGCGGCCCCAGTCAGCTCCGTTCTGATTCAGCGAGCCACGTCGGATGCCCTTCTCAAGCGTCATTAGCTGCCTGTCCGACTGTCGTCCTCGAATCGAACCCAAACTCATCCCAGGGTGACACTGCGCTATGGGTCGGGGAAGAGTGATGGCAGACCAGGGCACCGCGGTAGAAGGCTTGATGGGGGGCATATTGATGTGTCTTTGGTGACGTTCGCAACGAAGCAGCATCATTGCCATACTTGCGCATTTCCAGAGCCCTTGATCACACCAACTGACACACGAATGGCAGGCTTCCTGGGCTGATGGATCCGCTATGAGGCGCTTCGCAGCTGATTCCTGCAAGACAAGGGACGTATAGTTTGTGTCAGCACACGAAGCAGTTCGCCTGCCTCTGTCCTGGTCTCCCCTGCGACTGACCCGGGGCCATGATCCGTCCTGCTCTAATCCTTGGGATCATATCTAGTCTCCGTGGGCTGGACTACGGGTCCCACCATCCGGTTCCTGACACCCCTGTGTTGTCCACCGACACCGCGCCCAGCGAATCCACCCTGTGCCTGGCGGGCAAGCCTTGCAGCTCCCTGTCCGAAAAGAAAGCCTCTTGGAAACACGCCCCGTCAATCCGATGTGCCGAAAGGGGGTAGCTGCAGTTGTCCTGAGTCCTTCTGGTATAATTCATCTAGATCTCCTTCCCAGGTGTCAAAAGTTTTGTTACACGTTCCCTGAGTCTCGCGTGCCTCTCCTCTCTACGTTCTTTGTTTAGTTCATATTATTCAGATCTTGTCTTGATTTATTTTGCTTGCTGCAGATCACATCAAATCCGGTCCAGGCTCCCAGTGAATTTCCCGCCATCCTGACAGTCACAGACACTCGATACATCACACCCCTAACAGTCCGCGCGTTCAGTCACGCTCAACCCGGTCGAGGACTCAACTGCGCGCAATCACCCATCCGAGACTCGACATCCTACCTGTACCATATGTCCCCGACAATTCTTCAAGAGCTTGCCGTCCTCAATCCACACCCTGCCGTCCCAGAACGTCCCTGACAGCCCAGAAACTCAAATTCTGAACGCGACTCCTTTGCTCGTGGCGCATTCCTCCCTTGACGCGCTCCAACACCCTCTTACAAAGACGTCGAGGCTGGCGATCAGCGAGATACCCTGTACAACATCCTTGACTCTCCCCATCTTTCCTGGTTCACTGCCAAAGTAGTGCCAGATCACAGCGTGAGTCAGCCCATTCTGTTGCCTGGGTATATAAGCCTACATGCTCCATCTTCCAAGCCCAATTCGTCTACAAACCTTCCATCCTAACACTTCAACTTCAGAGACACAATGACTTCCTCATCATCGACATCTGCTCCTTGCGACATGGGCCGTGGTGGATACGACACCACCGGAGTTCCTAAACCAAAGCCTCCTTCGAAATAAGACGCAGACGGTCAAGCTCTACGAACCATGACATCTTCTGGCCAATGCTGGGACATCTTTCTACCGCTCCACACGCAAATCGCAAATCGCAGCCCTCCTCGCATGGGCTACCCGCACTATGGCTCTTGCTACAGCAGCTTCGCGCAAGCCTTGATCGCGACCATCTGCCCCTTGTTATTCGACGAGCACGTTGATCTTTCCCACCAAGATACCTAATACCGTGTGCTATTCGACTACCCTGTACAACTATCGTTCTCGGAACTTCTCAAGCGTTTTCGGCGAAATTTTTTGCATGCATGCGGCGCATTGTCTTCTCGGACTTCACCAGAATATCATTCTTGTACAAATTGTGTATCAAAAGGCCTTCTCTTTTCGGCGTTCCACCATAGATGGATCATGGGCGGCTGGGAAAACAAAATGGATGGAGGGCATCGGCGCGATAGAATGTATGACTCAGGTCACATTTCCTTTGAGGGGTTTCTTTTGGCCCTTACGAAAGTAACGGTGGATGGGATCGGCGGATTCGCAGTCTGGACCTGTCTGCCTGATTGCATCGAGATATCAGTGGATTGGAGGGATCGGACCCTGGGCCGGTCGCTTGAGTCACCGTCACACCGCGAGGAATGGCACATGGTGATGTGGCCTATTAGGCAGTTAGATAATATCATCAGTTCAACTGATCCAGATTTCTCTCCGGTTCATCAATTTACGTGTCTGTTGACTGGCGCTGGTCGGCATCAAGTGGCAAATAATCACATGAGGGCTGCGTTCAGAGTGCGACGCCGCGTTAGCAAGGTAGAGGGATATGAGTGAAATGCAACGATCTCTTCTACTCTGTAACTAGGTAGGAACTGCGCTGTTGAGAAATACTCCGTAGAGGGAGCCTGGCCAGCCCTCTCTGTACGGAGCAGTGTATCAACGGACGTGCAATTTACACCTACGGAGTATTTGCGGTCGAAGTGCAATCATGTTCAACTGCTGTGCTGCGTCGTCGTCACTCCTGCGGCACCAAGACTTACTTACAGTCCCAACTTGGTTCCGCTGGACTGAGCCATCATCCTCCGCTTGCACCATCATCCCACCTCTGCCAACTTCTCCCGAGACCTTGGATTCCTCGATTGGCGCTCTATAGAATTCAGAGCCACCCAAAACATCCATTCATTTGAGGCCTTCGCCCACCACCAAAAGCCTGAACGCCAGGACGACCCATTCGCGGACCTGCTCCGGCCCAACCACCTCCGACATCTTTCAACCCTCGACAGAGTAGATTCCTCATAATCCCACGACCGCCGCAAGCAGGGTGCTGTCTGCGCTCAGCAATCGATCGAATCCTTAGCCGCACAAGCGTCCATCCGCAGAGCTGATCCTTCACATCTGCATTACCGCTTCGCAATCAAGAGTATGGCGGACCAGTCGTCGGCACCCAAGCCTAGCAGCAGCGTCAAGCTGGTGCTGCTAGGAGAGGCAGCCGTGGGAAAGGTGTGTTGCGCACAACTGTTACGCGAATCAAATAGCACCTTGCCCTTGTGCCATACTCTTCCGAACACCTGGAACCCTCAGACCCTTGGTGGTCTTAACTGGTTTCACAGTTGAGATCGTGATACCATGATCCTCTTGCCAAGCGGAGAGGCGACTTGGGGAGAACAAGAAACCAAAGATGCTGAAAGGGGACTGAGGACAATTGACTAACACACTGCGCAGTCATCTCTTGTTCTACGGTTTGTCAACAATGACTTTCAAGAGAATAAGGAGCCTACAATTGGCGGTATGTCATTCCTTGCATCCGTACGCTCCCTTTTGTCAGGCGTTCTAACGCGCCGGTTCTTTGCTATGAGATCTCCCAATCCCGGAAGTCGCCAGCTGACATTTGGACAGCCGCATTCCTCACCCAGAAGATCTCACTGCCCAGCCGGATCATAAAGTTCGAGATTTGGGATACCGCCGGCCAGGAACGATTTGCCTCATTGGCACCCATGTACTACCGCAACGCGCAAGCGGCGCTCGTCGTGTATGACCTGACCAAACCTACTTCCCTTATAAAGGCCAGGCATTGGGTGGCAGAACTGCAGAGACAAGCGTCACCGGGCATCGTGATCGCCCTGGTCGGCAACAAACTGGACCTTTGCGCCGAGTCGTCCGGCGACAACGACAGTGCAGCTGATTCGCCCGCCGACGCTGAAGAAGGAGGTGCCGAGCCGGGAGAAGCCGAACCCACAGACAACGGTGATGCAAGAAAGATCTCGACTCGGGAAGCCAAGTCGTACGCTGAAGAGGAAGGTCTCTTATTTTTCGAGACGTCTGCGAAGACGGGGACCAACGTTGCAGATGTGTTCTCTGCGATTGCCAACGCCATTCCCGAGACTTCGTTGAAGGGATCCAGAGGGGCCGCCGGCGGTGGCACGCAGGCCGCTCTGTCTGGAGCCGCCAATCGTGCGGATGAGGCCCGGGTCAACCTTGCAGACCGGGCGAAGCAGAAGAGCGATAACTGCGCCTGTTGATTGCTTCCCCGCTTCTTTGTTGGAGGTTGGGGGAGAGGAGTGACGGCTGGCTGAGGAAGAGACGTGGGTGGTTATTGCGGCATCGATGCGTTGTGCCCCGATGATGTGAACGGCAACAACACGGCGACGGCAGATGCCAGGGAAAATGGGGACGAGCCTACACACCTCAAGTGCTCAGATACTACACAGCCCTTTGAACTGATTGCCTGTCCTTGTTCACGGCGGACAGGGTTATCTCTTTTGGGAGTTCTTACAGTGGGCGGGGAAGGAGGGTTGCAATGCCATGGAATGGGTTATAGCGAAACATTGATCGACTGACTTTGTTTCTTTCTCGAGCTGTCTTGCGTTTGCTTTTTGCTGTTGATTTTGCTATTGGTATTTGCCTTTTTGGTTCGACTTCTTTGCGTGTTTATTCTTCGAGTCTTACAATTGACGCTTTGGCAGGGGCAAGAGCAAGAGCAAGAGCAAGAAAGATAGCATGAAGCTGATACGAACGGGCGGGACCAACCGAGCGGGTTGACTGGCTTTTGTCGACATCATTGACAAAGCTGGTCCGCGTTGTGACGTTGCCGAGATTCTTTTTTCATGGTAGTTGACAGTGTGGTTCATCATGCACTATTGGCAGTCGAGCCCCAATCTCCTCGATTTCCGGTACCATAAAGACCGAGACCTGGCCATTGTCCAGGCTCTATTTCTCTTCCGGCCCCCCTTTTCTGCTCTGATTCTATCAGATGTTCCGCCTGGCGCTTACTGCCGGTTTGCACGGACGGCGACGACAACGCCGTGTCCAAGATTGATTCCGGAGCGGACTCCCGCTGCTCTGTGGGTGGATTGAACAACTGCGACGTCTGGATTAAATGGAGCAGTCCATTCCGGTCGATGACCCTTCGTGTGGGGCCGAAGGCTTCCCTGACGGCGTCCTTGGATGGCATTGTTCCGACGACAACGACGATATCAGGTCGCAGTAGTGGGCCAACGGCTGTGACAGCCACGCCTCCGTGACTTGTGATCAGTTCAGCTATGTCCTCGACCAGCCCAGGCCCTGGATATGGCGGATTACAGAAGAGGTAGAAGCGCGTTCCGACCAAGCAGGTGGCGGAATCTCTGCGGAAAGCGATACCTTGCATGGCGAGCAGGCTTTCCGTCATGAGGATACCGAATTTATCTTTGGTGATGCCTTCAAGCATGCCGGCCCTCAGCTGCGAGATCTGGCCAAGAGTGTCGAGGTAGAGATGTCGGTTGCGGTGCCACGTGCTGACTGATGCCTCCCAGGTAGGATCGATCTTGGTGATTCGGAGCTGTGGGTTGTCACAGCCCGACACGGCGACCAGCTCGAGTTTGAGAGAGCCCAAGTGATGCAGATGACTGAGGATGTGGTCGCATCTCAGCTCAGACCATAGAAAACTTTGAAAGACCCGCCGGTAGGGATCGAGGAGAAACGTGTTGATAAACATGCAGTCTGGGCACTGCGTTGGACAACAGTATCCCTTGCGAATCACAGGTATCTTCCGTTGTGGGACTTCACCGACCTCGTGGATGTAGAAGTTGGTGAGAACCCCGGTGATGAAATTCTGGAGCCCGTCAATTGCAGGTCCGCTCAATCTAGAATCAAGTCCTTCAGCGTATGTGAGAGCTTGCGGTAACAACTGGGAGAGAAGAGGCCCGCGGAACTTCAAAAGTGCTGCCAGCAGTTCAATGATGAGCATGGACCCCGGGATTAAGATGTCATTGATCAAGTCGATCAGCTTATCGGCACTTATTTCAGCATCCGTATTGATGAATTCCAACATCCTTTTGGCGAGACGGGGAACGAAGGTGTTCATCACAATGTGACCCTGCTCCCTCAGGACGGATTCCGACTCCTGTCCAATGCCAGGCCTCGAGGTACCTTGGGACTCTATCAATCTCTCAAACAGCCAGAGGCATGAGTCGATGGGGAAAAGATGTTCTGTCTTTGAAAGGACCGTATCAAGGATGGTGGTGCTTTTGAATCGAAGTAGCGCTTGGAGGACTACTTGCCTCTCATGTTGGGTGATGACGGGAAGTGCGGAAATTTCTTTGTTGAGCTGAGCTTCCACCCAGCTGATGATGTCAAAGCGCTTCGACGAAGAGATGTATTCTGAATTGTCCGACAGATGAAGCATCATATTGAGGCGACCAACTGCGTCTGGCAGACGAAGGAACGCCTGTTCGAGCCTAAATGAGGTTAAGCTGTGTCCAGGCAGACCTGTTCTGGACTACTCACAAGTCAGCTACGTCTTTCCAGTCCGCCCACATTATGATCATGATCATTTCGAATACAAACTCAATTCTGTGGTATTCCAGGAGTGATAACAGGTCCAGTAGGACGGCTGATCTGTCTCGATCCAAGTCAGAGCTCAGGGTTTTAGTCATGGTTACGACCATCACTTCGCCAAAGTGGACCGGCTCAGGCCTCTCCTTTAGGGACCGAACGTTGGTTTTGCAGAGCGTCAAGAAGTGGTTCGCCTTGTCCGTGTTACTGAGGTCTTCTCTCGTAGCCTGATACGCTTGTCGAAGACTGTCCACTTGCTCATTGCCAGCAAACTCGTGGCTATTCTCTGCAACAAAGTCTAGTTCATCTTCCGGGCTCATTATGAGGATGACCTACGGAAATCAGTCAGCTCATCCATTTATGCTTTGTACGGTACGCACCGCATTTTCGTAGCACACTTCCACCAGATTCGTTCCGTCCTGGGGTTGGTGACGGAAGTTTACGAACTCAGGGATACGCCTGGAATTGTACACATCGCTCTGTATCAAGCATTCAGGATAGAACGACGCCTTGTGACAGACAAGATCTCCCGTCAGTGTCTCTATGTCGACCAGTCTGTATCCGTCGGCTAACTTGTCATCAAGGTGACCCGTCACAGAGCTGCGGCCGAGCGACGGCATACCATGTCTCTGACCGACAACAGTTCTTTTGAGGCGAGCAAGGTACAGGCAGTAGCGATTTGCAGCGCATGACTTTTGAAGACGGCTGATCTGACATCTGTCGCGGCTCGACAAAGTGGATCTGATCGAGCACCCGGTAGCCACGAGTCTAGGTATGCAGAAGGCTAGCATACGCGGGTGGGAAGGGCCGGTACGGGTGAAGTGATAGTGTAGGGCTTCTCGAAGTTTTGGCACCGCTTCAAGTGCGGGCGGGATAGTCGGTATGCTCTGGGAAGGGCGCACAATGTCGAACAGAAGAGCGGCAAAGTGTCCGGCCTTTGAGGGCTCCCAGGTGAAGTCTGCATCCAAAAGCCAAAGGGTTAGAACGCTCCCATACTGGTGCCCGTGCTCTAAAGGCACATTTGCTGCTCCTCCATCATAAGTCACAGAGAGCGAGGATCCGGTGTGACAGCCTCCTAACGTGATCAATAGCTTTGCAAATGTTGTCTCTGCGTTTCGATGCTGTAGATAGGGAGAAATGTCAGCTCCTGGTCTGCACACAACAAGTGCAGGGTACCCAGCGTCAACACTGCGGTGCAATCCCATGCGCTTTTTGAAATCCTCCAGGTGTTTGTTCAAGGAGGCTCTCCACTGTGGATTACACATCTTAAGCGAGCCAGTGCCGAAGGCGGCGATATCTTGGTATCTAACATCTCGCCGTTGTTCACCCAGGTGCATTAAACCAGTCAAGTCCCGATGTAAAATCGGAAGCCCGACTTCGCCATAGTTAGTGACGAGAAGACCGGGGTTGCAAGGGGTCTCGTCTACAACGTGGCTGCAGAACTCGCCTGGAGAGTCAACAGCCTCCAGTAGAGAGAGAATCTTCCCCTTCGTACCGTGGAACTCGGGAGAGGTGAAAGTGAGCGTCTGAATTCGCTGCGTCTGACTTTGCTGCGTCTGTCCAGTTGATTCCTGCTCCTCCTCCAGCCTTGCGAGCGCTTCCTCGACCGACCTGGAAGAGACGGAATTCCCAGCAGCAGCAGGAGCCGAGGGTGCGGGGATTTCGACGAGAGATCCATCCATAATACATATGTGGTGATGGCTATCGTAGTAGCCTAAGCCCACAAACGCGGATGAATGGACATACAGTAGGCGCAGGTGTGGAGAGATGCCGTCGTGCTCGAGTGCTGACAGCAGGAGGGGAAAATAATGGGCGAGGACCTGGCAGGCGCCGGCGCCGTCGCCATCGCCGTCGCGCCATGTCCTATCAGCATGGAGGATGGATATCGGCGTGTCTGACAAAGTCAATGTCGCCTGCACAGCGCAGAGAGGGTGCTAGGGTTCCCGGTTAGCAGGTAGGTGCCAGGGTTGGCTAAGGCTCACCAAGGCTCACCGATGTCAACGTCGCCAATACTGCAGCGCTTCTTCACCACCAAACTGGACGGGGAGCACAGTGCCAGTAGTTTGCCATCGAGACAATCTGGATCGATATCGGCTTCGAAATCGAAACGACATGTCCGCAAGTTCGAATGGGCCTGCGGCGGACTGTGTACCTATAGGTACTCTGTACTCTGTACTCCTCCGTTCTCCGCACCGCACTTCCCCAGATGCTAGGTACCGGGTACCTAGTGGGGTAAGGCTGTTAAATTTGAGGCTGTCTGACTTCGATTTGCGGGTCCTCAGTGGTGTCAGGAGTCTTCTGAATCTGTCAGACTGGAAAGCGCTAACTCATCTGGCTTGGGCAGAGCACAGCTGAGATCAGATGCTGGCAGTGACATCATTCATTGCTCCAGCCACAAACAACATACATCATCGGTGGGCAGGCTGCCACCAGCTGCTATCAAACAAAACACCGGTAGCAATATCCGTCAGGACACGATTACTCCTGCTTTCTCGATGCCTCTCAACTTATTCCTCCCCTTTCTGTTCTATCTCCTTACTGCACCATCACAAATCAGGGCAACTCTTCACCTCACCTCTTTCACTCCGGGCTCTCGTCTAGCCTACACATAACGACCCTTTTGTCCAAGATGTCGGACCGGGTAAAGCAAGTTGCAGCCGAAGAAGCTGAGAGAGTCAAGGCAATGACCGTGGATGCCTTCCAGTCCCGAGCCTATTTGTATCCTTTCAAGGTAAGCCAGAAGCCAGAAAGCAGAAGCCAGCGTCTGTGGGAAGATGCGGTTCTCTCCTAACACTCACCAGGGCGTTTTCTACTTCACCACCCACAAAGACCTATGGCGACCATTGATCTCCAAACTGACCCCTACCCTTACCCTCAGCGTCGGCATCACCACTCTGATGTTCCTCGTCGCATATGTCCCTCAAGCTGCAATCATGGCATTTACCTCGGGACCCATCGCAGCCATTTCTGCAGCTCTGCTCACCCTCAGCGAAAGCTCTACTCTCATCAATCTCCTCGCAAAGACCTTCCTAATTGAAGATGCCCTCGTTGATACCTTCGATGGCACGCTGCTATCACAAAACTGCACAAACTTGGTGGGAGAGGGGAGGCAAATACAGGGCGGAGGCGACAATATCGCTCGGTTGGGGAAGCTGGTCAAGAAGCCTTTTGCCAAGTTCACCCCAAATGCCATCGTTCGGTATTTGCTGTACCTGCCACTCAACTTCATCCCTGTTGTTGGCACGGTAATATTCATCATCTTACAGGGAAAACGAGCGGGACCGGCTGCCCATACAAGATATTTCCAGCTCAAGGGATGGTCCAAGAGAGAGCGAGAAATTCACGTCGAGGAGTTCCGTGGCGGATACACCTCGTTTGGTGTGACAGCGTTCGTCTTGGAAATGATCCCGTTTGCAAATCTTATCTTCGCTTTCACAAACACTGTGGGTGCAGCACTTTGGGCCGCCGATGTTGAAAAGAAGGCAACAACATCATCTCGGGTACGCGAACTGGCTCAGAAGGCTGATTGATTGCTTCGCGGGCTCCTAGCATCTGCGGCTATCATGGATTCCAAGCAATGCGCCATCTACTAGGTCTCAACCATTCGAGTGATGCCTTGCCGAAGGATCAACAACAGGGTGCGATGATGGCAAACTGGGGCACGATTACGTTTCCTCGAGCAGCCCAGTGACAGGATGCTTCATTAGGAGTTGAAGCCGAGACATGGTTACAGAGACTTGGAGGTATTGCTGCATTAGGCTTGAAGCTATGCCTTACATACAAGATGAGATAGAGAGAAAATTCTGGCTATGATTCTAGAATGGATCACCACAGAGAATGATTGATCAGAGTCGGACCATTTGACTTCGACAATGGCAATAGTTGTAGGACCACCAACGGAGATGTGTCTTGCATGGTAAGGTATCACATCACCACCTCCCGGACTTCACTGCTGATGTTGTGTACGAGATGTTGTCGCGGCATCTTTCCTGCTTTTGTTGATTTGTTGATTGTAAGTCTACCGCAGTCTGAAGACCGCTCATCCATTCGAAGTTCCTTCCCGTCGGTAACAATTTCGCGCCACACAATTCTTGTAAACTGTCTCGACCGGTTGTTGTCTCCAGCATTGGCTCCCCGTTTTCAGACAGGAGCCAACAAACAGTGCAGGGTAAGACTGCCGGTTCGTGCCTCAAAGATTCCCGACTGACTAAAGACACAGCTCAAATGAGTCTCTACCGATCCTCTCTCTGCTCTGCGCTGATCCTCTGGACCTTCGTATCTCTCAACATTCTTGCGGCCACCTCTTCCCACCATTTTAAAGGCTCACACCAAGCGGAAGCCAGAAGCGAAGTCTTGTCTCCTCTTGGAAGCCCAGCAACTCCTTGCTTCGGTACGGACTGTGCTACCCCAACACTTGTGCCTGATACCCTACCATGCGAGGCGGCGAGTGGTGCAATTGTTGCTGGAGGTTCTGAGGACTCCAACTATATCATCAACTGCGACATCGACTACCCCGGTCAGAACATCTATCCATTTGTGCCAGCAGGCTCTTTTGGGGAGTGTTTGGCACAATGCGAGATCTACAACCAGGTCAGCAATGCGGGAAGCCATTGCGCCGGGGTTGTCTTTGCCCCAGATCAAGTACACGAAGCCGACAACTGCTATCTCAAATCGTCGTTGAATGATCCAATCCCTGCGACAATTCATCTGGTGGGCGCGACCCTGGCTGCGTCCTCCACCCGTTGTACAACAGAGACAACAGAGACAACATGACACCAACCGGCTCGAGCAACATGGCTTTCTATTTCCTCGCACACAATAATACATTTGAGAGCAGAGAGGACCATGGATACACAATGCTTGCAGGCTTGCGGCTAGACACTGTAATATTCTGCGGGCGTCACCTGTATGTTGCAGTGCCTTGGGATTCTGTTTTCTTTGGCTTGTCTTCTCTTGTCTTTGCTCGGCTTGTGGTGCGTCGGTCGATTGGGGAGTTCTTGATTTGTCGTGTTGGCTTCGAGTACTAGCATGTCTGCGGTCGACAAACACTCTTGTAAGGTTGATCTTAAACTGTGCTACGGAGTACGGAGTCCTCTTTGCGGGGTTGCTCCTCATGAATCAGAGAACGATCCCACTTGTGTCTTGACACCCAATAACATCCTCCTACGGTACATATGTACAGTACAACTTTCTTCCCGCTGCGCCGACTTCGTCTCTCTTCCGCCTTCTTTTCGCGGCAGCGAACCCACAGATCTGCGCCGCTTCTTACCCGGAATGTGCTTCCTCACCTCCAGACCTATAAGAACACATATTCATCCCTGCTCTGCCTTTCCCCGCGCCCGGCTCCGCGCGGATTGAGGATTGCGGATTGCGGCAGAATGTTTTGAGGGGTAGAATCCACATATCACAAGGTGGGTGGAAAGATACCTTAGTGCAGCAAGGCAGACAGCGTCCAGCATAAAGGAAGTGATATGCGAAGGTCAGTATATATTCAATGGCCGAGCTCACAGGTTGAGATTCAGTGTCCCGTAACCCCTGAACCTGTAATCCTAGATTTGGGCAAACATCAGAAACGATCATCGTCTCGAAGCCTTCCGCCCCTTATTCTTCAGGCGGCCAAGATACGCCAGTCGGTGGATTTAGATCATCCACCATCCATCATATCATCAGGCGCCTGACGTGAGATCGAAGCCGCGTCGACTGGAAAATGTCTGTAGATGGCAACAACCCAAGTTCCACGGCGGCGGCTGCAGCTCCTCAGCCGGAATCTGGCTCAGTTCCTCTCGCAGCACAGATCTCGTTAAAGGGATTCGAGCTACCAGAGTTCCCTCCACAGGCCTCGCGTTTGCGGCAACTTACACTCACCGCGGACATCAAGCTCGACGAGTACCAGGGAAAGGTTCAGATGCCGTTGGACGCCGGCGCCATCGCGCAACCGCCGCTGCCGACTCTGCCGCCATCCATCACACACCTTACTCTAGAGTTGTTCGGCCTCGGATTCCCCGGGCGCCCTCCGTTTCTGGAACAACTTGCCAGGGCGCTGCCGAACATCACCACTTTAACCTTCTTCAGTTGTCTGATTGACGGGCTGGACGATGCCTCACGGAAAGACGCAGAAGCATTCTTCCAACTTCTCCCTCATCTGCAAGAGCTCCATGTCATCGACTCGTTCGCCCGTCCTGGCTTCTTCAGAACCATTGGTGGGATATTCGAGGATCGTTCTAAGCAAGGTCAAGACAGCCTTAAAATGGTTGAAGTCAGCTACACCTTCCGAGGACACCAGGACAGGGACTTCCTCGCGCGAGTACAGGGTGAAGAACTGCCCAACCTGATAGTCGGGGGTGTGGTGGGTGCCAGCTTCGACTTTATGCCAGAAATGGTGGACGAGTTGGTTGAGGGTGAAACTGAGACTGCTAAAGCCGAAGAGGAGAGACCGGACGGAGACAAAGAAAAAGAAAAAGAAAAAGTGGCCGAGGGCATATTGCCATTCGCGAGTGACGGCCGAGCGCCAACAGCGCTCAAGAAGAGATTCGAGCATCTGCGCACCGAAAGCCTCCAGAGTGTGAAAGTGCTGAATCTAGGCATGTGGTCCCTCCGTCCGGTCGAGGTCGGGGAGATTCTCTACGCCTGCGCTGGAGGAGGTAAGGCCGGTCTGGCTGATCTGACCGTCAGCATCCTGCTCGAGGACAACTGGTTTGAAGAGTTCATCAAAGGCTTTATCAGGCACAAGGGCATCGGCGCAGAGCTCGAAGGGGTCGAAGTCATCGGTGCCCCGGACCGAGCTAAACGCGAAGGCGAAGGCAAAGACGAAAACGAAGACGAAGCTAAAGGCGCCGACAGAGACGAAGACGAAAACGAAAAAGGTCGGACCCATGGCTTGTCCTTGGTGAGGCAGGCTGATGTGGAAAAGCTCGGCCAAATTTGTCCCAAACTGGCCAAATTTGGAATGAGCATTCTCAAGGTCAAGAGTGCGCCTCATCTGCTGTTCTTCAAGGATCAAGGTGGGTGGACACAGCAGTAGATAGCGATCTGTCGAGCTTGAGTGTGTTGAAATTCGAGTCTACTGAAGTAAGTGTTCGAAGAGATTCTGATTCTGAATAGCTGCGTCATAAAATAAGATATGATAGTCGGGAATTAGATCCTCATGGACATTTCTTCTTCAACCACTTTCCGCACTGTGAAACAAGGTCCATATTAAGGACCAAGTATCTAATATTCTGACTACATGTACTGACTGCATGAGTGGCAGAAGGTCAGTACCGCGTGAGACATTCCTCTCAGAGGTATTTATTTGGTCAGCCAAGCATCGGTCTCCATCTTCGGAAGATCGATTCTGGGCTAGAAGGTTGAGATTGAGATTGAGATTGAGATTCAATCTGATCATTATCTAACTCTAACGGTAGGTCAGGTCAACCCAGTCTTGATATTCGTCCATTCACCCCCAATCGAACCCGAACCCGAACCCGGATCAAGCCAGCTAGATTGTGGATTGATCATGCATCTTTGGGTTCTACACAGGCTCATCTACGACCATAGTAATGGCCTGTAGCATCAGAGCTCCGCTGGGACTCGGACTAGGACCGGGAGTCTTTGGAGGCGGAGGCTTTCTTGCCAACATAGTCCCACTGAATGGATGAGAATTGGGGTTGGTTGGCGTTGGTCTCGGATGAGGCATCGGCATTGGATCTAGAGGATGAGTCGGCTGTCGATGTCGATGTCGACGTCGACGACGGCTTTTCTTGCCTGGACGAGGTGTCGAATGAGCAATCACACTCGTAGAACTCGCCAATGTTGGCGCCGCATATGATACATTTTTTGGCCATTTGGACGGCTGGAAGGCTGCTAGTCGCCGACCTGGATGAGGTGATATAAGCGTCGTTCTGTCCGTACTTGGCTAACAGTGTTGATGGGGGAACCGTTTGTCTAAGAACGTGTGCGGTTCCAGTCCTCGAGTTGGAGGTCAGTCTTGAAGGTTGAGGGTTTGATTTGATCTGCTTCAAGTTCGAGGGTTTGGTTTGATCTGTTAAGTGTATTCAGAATATACCGACCGGTCTTGGAGGATCTTGTTGCAGCCTGAGATATTGTGTATTATGAATGCTGGAGGTGAGCTATCGTGGATTCAGAGCGTACAGGCAGGCAGGCAGGTGAAAAGGGAGCCTACGATGTGGCTTTATATGTCCCAGTGGTTCCTTCCATCATGACACTGGCTCTGGTTTTGGCTCTGTTTGTCCGTCCGTTTCCCTTGCACGACTGCGAGTGACAAGTCGGCCGCTGGTGACTGTCCAAGCCCAAGCCCAAGTCCAAGTCCAACTCTTTTGGTTTTGGTGTTGGTGTTAATGTTGATCGAGTGACCAGTGACGGGTGACGAGTGAAGTTGCAGACAGACTCGCTCGATCCCAGGACCATCTGTGAATACGCCGGCGTGGCTGATCGGGGATGGAGATGGAGTTTGCATCGGAATCGGTGAGAAGTTAATGTATACGTAGCTATATACTGACTGTACCTTCGCACCAAGTTCGACGAGGATAAGGCGACACGACGGAGGTCTGTCACACGGCAAACAAACTGTTGGCCTTCTGTGCCATCTCCCAGCTCACACTTCCCCTTCCCACGGCCTGTGCTAGGTTAGTCACAGCTGCGGCTCCTTGTATTTGTCTGTTACGCCCTTCTCGAATATTCCGTGTCCGTGTCCGCTATGCAGTGCGACGTGACGCGATGCGATGCCGCCCACCCCTTCCTTGACACACCAAGGTCAAGATCTGTACCAGGTCCATAGGAGCCGAATCGTCACACGGCGCTCATATTGTGTACTGCGTACTGTGTCTCTTGTCCCTGTCCTCTCCGTACCGTGTATCTTGTCCTGTATTTTCTGTACCGTATATTGTCCCTGGACTCTCTGTACCATATTTCGCAGTAGTAGCAGCAGTAGTACTCGACTCTGTACTGTGTTCGCGGTTCGAAGCAGCGTGCTGTCCCTTCCATTTGTTATTTCGTCGACATTGGCATTGCCGGCCGAATCGAGTGCTGTCCTGCGCTCCTTTCGTGCCTTACGCATACATAACTCACGATTCTGAAGCCTCGAAATCTGACTGTGAGCGGTTACAGCCACGGCCACGGCCACGGCCATAATACTTCGTGAGTCCACTCGTGAGTCGTCGAAGCGTACAAGGAACAGGTGGCTTGAACCCACCTAAGGATGTAATGTATCTGGTGCCTTATATGCACTGTAGAGATAGCTGTACGGATACATGTGCCGTAGTACTAATTAGAAGAAGGCCTGTAACCAGGTTGTGGCTTCAATTCTAGCATTCTATCGCTCTAGCATTGAAGCCTCGCATAGCGATATTGGAGGTCTTCAAGGGTATGGTGACTAGTAGTATAGTAGTATGACAGTATGACAGTATGACAAGGGCCGACACCTCAGCTAGAGGGTGAACTGTTAACAGAATAAAAAGCCATTCCCACGCACCCACGCACGACATTGTCAGTGTTTTGAAGTTCAAATTCCAAAAAAAGAACCAATCCGAAAACCGACAAAAAAACACTTTCCTGCCCAGTCACCCTGTCCACCCTGAGGGATGAACTGGGAACAGGGAAGTGAAACCACACTTTGATTGCGGTTTTTTATGGGGAAGGGGGGCGGAGGATTGACGACTTTTTGTCTCTTGACCGCACGACTTCCACTCATCCTCAATACCGAATAACTTCATAGATACCGATTCGATGGATCAGCCTGGTCAGAAATCCAGTATTAGAGGGAAGAGAGGCGTCGGGCTGGTCAAAGGGTGGGACAGACATCGTCAACCTCCTCAATCCGGCCGAATGACCGAGTGTAATGTCTGATGCTGTGCATCTTGACCACTCGACCACCGTTCCGTGAATTGTTGAAGGGAATTCTGCTATTATAATATATCACTGTGGTTTTTCACAAAGCAGAAGCCGCCAAGAGAAGCCTGGTGGTGTGGTTGCGGTGCGGGAGGGTGCCTGTAGTATAAGGTCGTTGTGTGGTGTCGTGTTGTGGATCGTTGTGTTGTGTTGTGTCAAAACCATATGTCTGCAGCAGATACAGATACAGTACCACCATGGATCCGCAGCACATACAGATGCAGTTCCGGCGGAGGTTCAGAATTCAGACATATATAGTATAATCTCGTCGATGGTTCTATTGTAGGTTAAACCACTGGGCGACAGAGCCTCGCCTCGGCTCTAGGAGTCAGTCTTGGATGAACTGGACTGTCTAAGTCCGTACAGGAACATGACGATGACTTACGACGAGAGGGCAATGACAAGATGCATGTCTATGAATGGCTATCTTGAGCGCAAGCCACAACCCAGTGGACTCTTCGACAACGACCAGCAAGACTCGCGGAGAAGATAACACGGACCTAAGTCAAAGTCAATATCAAATGTCATGCTGTTTGCTGCTCGCTGCTCGCTCCTTGCCACTTGATCTTCCCCTTCCTCGCTCTCATCGAACACGAACAACCAAGACAAGATACTTTGAATATCGCAAGCAGATGGTACAAGCACTTGCGAACATGCACACTCCGGTGAAGACGATGACCCAACGATAGGACAACGATGATGGAGACTGAGACTGAGTTCCGGTCGACTTTGAACTGGAGACCAGAAAGCCTCCCACCGGTCCGGCCGCCACGTTTCCGATGCCTTTACCGAAGTTCAGTAAGCTGAAGATGATCGGTCCTGCCGTCACGTCGTCTGTTATGGCGGTGCTCATCCTGGCCCAGATGGCAGTGAAGCCTGCGCCGAAGAAGCCGTAGGCAACGGCAAAGATAATCAAGACTGGGAGCGAATGAGCCAGTCTCCACACGGCGAGACAAGCAACTGCTGCCACCAGGGTTGATAAGCAGGCCAAAAGGTCCAGGGGGACTTTGTGGTCAGATAGCAGACCAAAGACAAACTGGCCGCCGACTTGACAGACGCTCATCAATGCGAGGAGAAGGGCGCCGCTCTTGCCGCCGAGCCTGAGCGACGACGCATACGAGGGGAGGTACAAGGAAGGGAAAAAGTAGCCGAATCCTTGCAACAGGTTGGAAACCGAGTACAGCCAGAACAGCGGGCTGCGGAAAAACGTCCAGTTGATGTTGGGCATCCTGGCTCGCTCCGAGTGCGAGGCCGGCAAACGGCCCTTTAACAGCGGAATCAAGGGGCCCGTGAGCAAGGTGAGGGCGACGGCCACGGCGCGAAGCGTCGTTCTGTATCCGTACTTGGCCAACAGTGCGTGCAGCACGAATGGCATGACCGACCCTGAGACTCCAGAGGCACCGCAGAGAACACCGTACGCCATGCCCCGCCGCGCGACCCAGTATTCATTGACCATGCTGAGGATGGGATAGTAGAAGATGAGGAACCCAAGACCGTAGGCCACGCCTTGCGTCAGGATAAGCACTTCCAAACTGGACGCAAAAGACCCCAACACGAGTCCGGCAATGCAAATGGGCCCTGAGAGACGGAGAGAGAGAGACCGACACATTAGCGACAGGTGGCACAGGGGGTTCGGGGTAGGCTGGACAGGATATGCGTCGAGACATACATCCCACCCAAATCATCTGCCGCTGCCACCGCTGATGGCGCTGGATAAAAGGCATGACGACTGGTGCTCCGAGATAACCCAATCCAGAGGCGATTGTGCCCACCACGGGAATGTAGCGATTGTTGGCAAACTCGGGCGTCTGGGAGTAGTATTGTTGAAAGACACCAAAGGAGAGCGGGAAGCCTAGATTCACCCACGCATGATTCAGTCAAGTTTCTATCAACCTCGTATCTCATGTCATGTCATGTCATGTCGGCGACACAATTCAATCTATGTGATCAAGATAATCTCAACCATCGAGGCATAGGGGTTGAATTGAGTGGTTTACAGTACCCCAGAGCAGTGCCTCAAACACAAAGGCCGCGCAGAGCAGCCTCCAAGCAGCAGATCCTCCATCTATGGGCGCGAGCTCATGTCCGTTCGATGGCTCGCCCTCTACATCCTGCAGTCGTGCTGATGCTGATGCTTGTGCTCTTGTTCTTTCGCCGCCCTCCACATCCAAGCCCGAAGGAGTGGTGACGGTAACAGTCACTAACTCGGTGTTACTCATCGCGAATGTTTTGGATACAGGAGACAATCAACGAGGAGGGCTGAAATATCAATTGCGACGGGTTTGGGCGACCATCTCGGTCATGGAGCATGGATACATCACGACTGAGGCTTTACCGAGGCCCTTGGCCCAAGTTGTGTTGGGTGTTGGGTCGGGCTTTTGTCGGTCTTTTCATTCAGCTTGTCGTAATAAGTGGTTATCTTGACCTCGCTGTGACCTGTGAACACCCACATCTGGGGTGAAATAAGAATGGCACTGTTTTACATTTCTCGCAATTGAATGGGCCAGTATCTCTACTATGTTGATTTTGCACCATCTGAATCTCTCTTGTGCAACCAGAGTTATGCTCACATGATAGAAATATCATCCGCCATCACGGCTGAATGCCCCTCCAAACCGGAATCTTGTCTTCCGAGCCGGAACCCTGACCCCTGATAAACATGGGCGGTGCTTTGCAAAGCAGGCTTTCCCGGCCAGTCTGAGGGGCAAGCTGGAGTGGCACAGTCTGTGGTGCAAAGCACACCATATCTTTCCCACCCACAAGGTTAGGCTTGTCGGCAAGTACAAGTACATATACATCAGCTTTCGTCTCCCTCTTCTTTGAAGGGTCACCTCACCTAGGCATTTCGGGATCGATCACCACTGTTCCAGCAGGCGACGAATACACATATACACTTCAGCCTCGGTCGATCAGCAAACAAAGGCTGATAAATTGTAATATGGCGACGATTGCTGTGGCTGGTGGCACCGGTGGGCTCGGAAAAGCCATTGTCCGGGCTTTGGTGGCCGATGGCAAAAAGGTCGTGGTGCTGAGCAGAAAGGTACATATGGCATACATGCCCTCCCGCTCCCAATCACGCACACTCTGCGGGCGGCGCACTTTCACTTTCACTTTCACTTTCTCGGGCACTGGCACTGACAGAACGAAAAGGCGTCGGATAATGAACAAGGTGCTCCCGTCGTCCAGGTCGACTATGCAGATACAGCCTCATTGGAAGAGACGCTCAAATCCCACCAAGTCGGGACCGTCGTCTCAACTCTGGCCGTTATTACCACCAACGAGGCCGAGCTGAACTTGATCACAGCTGCCGAGGCCTCACCGGTCACTAAGAGATTCATCCCCAGCTCCTGGGGGATCGCGTATACGGAAAAGTGAGTCGAGTTGTCTGTCTTCTGCACCACAGTTGTGTTGCCCCCTGCCAATAGTCCTACTCCTACTTCTCTTCCTCCTCCTACTTCTGCACCTACACCTACGCATACTCATAAATTTCTGGCCGCCAGACATGGAAAAGCATTTCCGCCGGCCGGCTTGAAGCTCGAAGTTCTGTCCAAGCTCAAGAAGTCGAGTCTGGAATGGACTCGGATCAACAATGGCTATTTCTTGGACTACTGGGGCTTTCCCAAGGTCCCGTCATTTCTTCCGCCCATGACAGCGGTGGTCGATCTCAGCAGCAACACGGCCGGCATCCCAGGCGAGGGCAACACTCCGGTCGCCTTCACGCACACGTCAGATATCGCTCAATATGCCTCCAAAGCCCTCGACCTTCCCCAGTGGAAGCCTGAGAGTTACGTGGTCGGCGACAAAGTCACATGGAACGAGTTCGTCCAGCTGGCAGAGAAGGCTAAAGGTAAGCAAACCCCAACCGAGCCCAAGACAACACAACACAGCATAACCCGATCCGTCCCGGGAATGAGAATGAGAATGCCTCCATAAAAGTATTAACCAACCTTCCTCTGATCTAGGCGTCAAGTTCAACGTCACGCACGACTCTCTTGAAACCCTTCGGAAGGGACAGATCACGGAGCTTCCAGCACAAGTCCCCGCCTACCCGTTTTTCCCCAAGGAGCAGCTCCAGGGTCTCTTTGCCATATTCGGGTTATGGTTTGATGATGGATCGTTTGATTTGCCCACGCAGCCGGAAGAGGGGAGTGTGGATCTGAACACCAAATTCCCCGACATCAAACCTTTGACGGTCAAGGGCTTGTTTCAGCAATTGTACTCCAGCTCTTAGGTGTGCGGCTGCTGCGAAGATGCCAGAAACATAACCATCTATCTGTAGATGCTAGAAACACAGCAATCTATCTGTAGATGCTACAGTAAACAATACCTATAGTATTACATACAGCACAAATATGAGCCAGCCGACAAACCACAAACTACCGAATTGCCCCTATTTCACCGCAGCACCTATCTACGGCATTGCCGTCACGACATAGTAATAGAACTGTGCTGGCGATGGTGATCTCGGCGGCGGAAACAGATTGAGGAACCCCGGGTAAGCAGTGTCGAGACAGGAACAACAACACGCCGGCAGAAATACTGTATCATCATCCAGGAGGAAATACTGTATCATCTTCCAGGAATGTGGTGGATGGTGGATGAGCCGAGCCTTAGCTGTGCTTGGTTGGGATAGGCCTCACAATCTAAGATGATACAGTAGTCTCTCTGTACATCCATACCGGAAATGTGTACTGTCTGTAGGAATGTACAGTATTACTCTGTTGGCCTCGATAGTGCCAGGAGAGGCTACCTATCTGAGTGATGGAATTCTTAAGAGTTACATGGTATCAACTCAGCGTTCGTGACGTGGCATTGGCATCTCAATTTCAGACTTCTCGACAGCCATGGAATATATGAACAGGGATCCGTCCTCTGGATATTGTATGTCCACTGTCTACAGTTCACAACAACGATGAGCCCAAGACCGAGCACATGGGAGGGAGACCTCGATCCGGGCGGGAATAGGGGGAGGGGGAACGGGAAGATAGATGAATAGATGATGATCCGACTCGACTCGATTCATGAATGACCATCGACTCATGACTTATCATCCCCCGATCTCCCGCCCGGCAAACCAAAAGACCAGCCTTTACTCCCGGAGGCAGTACAAGCCATCTGCAAGACGCCCAGACCCTCCAAGGCCAGCCCATAGCCCAGGTCGTCAAGAAAGCGGCGTTTCAAATGCTGGACCAGCGAGACGCGGGTATACTTCAGCACCAACGGGTCGTGGGTGAGCAGCTCACGGGCGATTTCCCAGGCGCGATCCAACACTTTAGCATGCGGCACGACCTCAGCGACGAAGCCGAGCGTCTTGGCCTCCGCGGCGGGGATCTCTTCACCCAGCAGGAGGAAGGAGCGGCCGCGGTTCGGCCCCAGCAGCATGGGCCACCAGACATGCGAGCCGTCACCGGGCACGGCGCGCGTGTCGGTCAAGTGGGCCTTGTCGGCGAAGGAGGCCGTGTCGGCGGCGACGACGATGTCGCACAGCGTCGGCAGCTCCGGGTGGATCGACACCTTGCCGTTGACCGCGGCGATGACGGGGATTTCCACGTCCAGAAACCAGTGGATTAGCTCCTTGCCGTCCTTGTATAGTCGGTGCCACTGGGCCGGCGACACAAACACCTCGCTGCTGTCGCCTTGGTCCCATTCCGCTAGGAACTCGTGTCCCGTCCCCGTGAAGATCATCACTTTGTTCTCGGGGTCCTTGGTCACGCATTGGAATAGCTCCGGGAGCTCCGAGTGCAGCGATTCCTCGTATCCGGACCATTTGGCCGGCCCGTCGTCCCAGTGCATGCGGACTTCGAGGATGCCATTCTCGCGCCGGAGTTTGAGAAATCGGAATTCGTCCTTGTACTGGTCGAACGTCAGGCTGTGCAGCATGGTGTGTGGTGTGTCCTTCAATTGAGGTTGGTGTGGTGTGTGGTGTCCTTCAATTGAGGTCGGTGTGTGGTCTGGTGTGGTGTCCCGGCACTGGCTGGCTTGGTTTCAACTGGGGTCCGGTGCTGGTACAAGAACAAAGATCAAACACTACAGTAAGGGAAATGTCGAGGTCGAGGTCGAGGTCGAGGTCGAATATGAATCTTGTCTCGCCTGATTTGTGTCCTGCCAACCCTTGGGTTTTATACCCGGTTTAAGAAATACATGGAACAGACATAGATCAATCCATGCGCTGTGAACTGTACTGTGAACTGAACTGTGAACCCAAACTGTGCCATCCGCTTTCGGCCGGGACACGTGTAGACGTGGGAGCGGAGATTATCCGTATCACTCGCGAGAACTCGGAGGGGAAGGGAGTCCAAGACCGAGCGAGGCTGCGCAGCGAGTGAGGCTGAGGGGTCCGGGTAAATCAATTGAGAACATATGTTTACTCCTGTACACTCGGCACAGTACATCCTGTAGTATCGCATGATGGGCACAGGCTTGATCCATCCTGCCTCTACTGTGGTAGACATACTCACTGTGTATGCATATAGTTTGTCCAAGTAAAGATGACGGTGGACCTGTACCTAATGTATGGGGTACTGGACCTCCCTCCCAGCCGACCAGGTAGATTGGTAGATATAGCAAAAGCAAAAGCAAAAGCAAATACGTGGAAGCTTAATTCTCTTCATCTAAAATACTAGCCGTATATACTATATATACTACATATACTAACCACCCTAACCCATGTAGCGGTTCTTCCCAACATCTATGTACGGACGGATTGGATTTTGTGTTGCTCACTTGGGCGAACCTGCAGCCAAGACCCTCAAGACCGCCGTCAAACCTCAAAGGACAAACCAGACTCCTTCTACTCCATGGCCGCGTCACGAGTCTTCTCCATTACCGGGGGAGCATCGGGCATCGGCGCCGCCCTTGGACGACTACTGGCCCAGCGAGGAGCGTCGGCGCTCTGGATAGCAGACAAGAACCGCACACATATCCAGACGCTGGCCGACGAGATCCGATCCATCAATCCCGCCACCGCCGTCCACACGCATCAGGTCGACGTGTCGGTGGCGCACGAGGTGGACGACTGGATCAACACCGTCGTCCAGGCCGGGCCGTTGCACGGAGCGGCCAACGTGGCGGGTCTGGCCCAGGCCGTGGCGAGTTCGAGTTCGAGTTCCAGAGCCGCACCCACCATCCTCCAGGAGACCGACGAGTCCTGGAGGAGAGTGATGGGCGTCAACATCGACGGAGTCTTCTACTGCACGCGCGCACAGGTGCGAGCCATGAAAGCCGTCATGCCGCCTCGCTCGCACTGCTCCATTGTGAACGTGGCCAGCATGGTCGCGCTGTTCCATGTCGGCGACACCTACGGCTACGCCACGTCCAAGGCCGCCTGTGCCTATTTCTCCACCAGCGTGTCCAAGGACGTGTATCCGTGGGGGATCAGGGTGAATTCCGTTTCTCCGGGTAGGTTGGTTCCTTCTATTGATTTATTTCCTTGATGAATTTGAATCTTGTGTTGCTGATGCTGATGCTGTTGCCGTTGCCGTTGCTGATACTGATGCTCTCAGGAAATGTCGAAACTCCCATGATGGACGATATCCTGCCCTCGACATCCCCTGAACAGCGTCGCCAGTTGATCAGGGCCTCGGGCATGGATCCCATGCATCCATCCTCGGTCGCCAGGGTGATTGCCTGGCTGCTGAGCGAAGACTCTCTGGACGTGACGGGCGTCAACCTACCGGTTGGACAGGGCTATCCTTGAACAAGTTGCACTTGAATGAGTCAAGTCAATACAGAGATCAATACCGATATAGATACAGTGAAGGCTAGATGGATGAACACTATGTCTGCTATGGTATGTATGGTATGAATCACGACATTGTCTACTTAGGCACTAACTTCTTGAGCAACCTAAAATGACAAAAACTTTCGGCTTGAGCAATCCAAAATGACAAAAACTTTTTCCAGGAACCCCTTGAGCGGGGGTCCTGGGAAGTGAAACCTAGATTCCTAGGTTTTTTACGGTCTCAGCAACCTCGAGGAGGTTGACAGCAGAAGATAATAAAGGCAGGTCAGGTATCCGGGTACCGTTTCGTGTGAGGATTGAACTCGGCCGTTCTCGCCCAGTAAATTAGGGAGTCCAGTATTGTGTTGTGGTGTAATAGAGGCGTCCCCGTCAAACAGGTCCGCCGCTACTACTGAGCCAAAGGCCCTCACTTCACTACTGCCAGACTCCCCTTTTTACATGGGGGTCTTTGCGTTGAGGAATAATGTTGGACTTTCAAAATATATACATTATTTTGGGGGGAGGAAACCAGCTTTCGTGGTTGAGATCCGGGAAGCCTCCTGCTCTTTACTGCTCTTGTTAAACTTAGGCATTCCCAGCCTTGCCCTTTAACTAGAAGGCTGGTTTAGGCATGATATACTATACTGTATGGCATACGCTCCGCCTGCGACCCTCTGATAGAGAATATGGAACTTTTCAACCTTCTGACAGCTTTCTGGTCGGCAAATCAAACCAAATCGACAAAGGAAAAGAAGAGGAGGCAGAGAGGCAGAAAAGATAAGTCAAGTCAATACCCTTGACATGCACATTCCTTGTTACTACTTGCTGACCATTGTCTGCTCTGTCCTAGTCTCGCCCATTCCGACCACCATTTCCATGTCAAACTCAAGGTAGGCACTAACTTATATAGGTAGGCATTCCCAGCCTTGCGCCTTAACCAGAAGGCTGGTATATATAGGCACACCTATATACTCTGGGCTCCCCACCCCTTTGATAGCGAACATGGAACATTTCAACCTTTGACAGACATGCCAAAGCCAAAGCCAAAGCCAATACCAATCCATCACTCCCTGCTCCGCTGAAGCGTGTTCATGGCCTCCTCACTGCTGGCGGGGATCTTGACCTCCTTGCCTGGCGGGCCCAGAATATCGCCCTGCCGCTTGAAGATATCCTCCATGGAGCGGGCGTTGGTGATGCCGTCCTGGAAGCCTAGCACGATGCGGGAGACGCAATAGGCACCCAACGAAAAGGTCTCGCCGGTGATGGTGGAGGATTCGTGGGCCAGGGCCAGAATCATCGGCAGGTTGCCCTCGGGCGGGAACTTCTGGGTCAGCTGGGCCTCGTACTGGGCGCGCACGCTGGGCTCCATGTCCTTGATGTAGTCGAACGACAGGGCCGAGGCGGCCACGGGCGCGACACAGTTGACCAGGATGTTGTGGTCGGCGCCCTCGATGGCCAGGGCGCGCGCGCCGACGAAGTTGGCCCCGCGCGAGAAGATATACGAGCTCAGGCTCGTCGTGCCGAAGATGGTGTCGGACGTCACCGTCACCACCCGCCCGTACCGCTGTCGCTGGAAGTGCGGCCACGCCGCCAGGATCGGAGACACCGCCCCGAACGTGTTGGTCCCCAGCACCCGCTGGAAGTCCTCCATCGTGTGCTGCGCGAACGGCGTCACCGCGTGCGTGCCCGCCAGCGTCACCACCACGTCGATCCGGCCGAACCGGCTCACTGCCGCGTCCACCAGCTTCTGGCCTTCGAACGAGGTGCCTGGCACGGCGATCGCTGACCCCCATCCCGCTTCGGCGTCTGTCTCTGCCTCTGCGCGCGACTTGATCTCGTTGACCGTCCGCTCCGCCGGGCCCGCGCCCTCGCTGTTGCTGGGCAGGTCGTTCACCACCACATTGGCCCCGGCCGACGCAAATGCCAGCGACGCCGCTCGTCCGATGGCCCCGCCGCCGCCGGTGATGAGCACCGTGCGGCCTTTGAACGCGTCTTTGGCGGCGTAGCGAAGAGCCGACATTGGATTGGATGGGATTGGATTGGAATTCGAGTTGGAATTAACCCTGGCCCTGAAATACCGAGTCCGAGTCCAGGTGGAAATGAATTCAATCCAATTCACCTCGGTTCAGTTCAATTCAAGTCAAAGCAAGTGAATTCCAGTCAATCCTGTCGTGTCGTGTAGCGGCGTGTGAATATCGAGGTTGGGTTACTGTACCCACGGTCTCAGGTCAGGTCAGGGGAAAGGAGAAACTAAACCTGACAATCGGGTTCGGATTCCTCTCTTCGCTCTTACTGTCCTACTACTACTACACCACCACTACTAGTATGTTTATGTTTATGTTTGTACTTGCCGTGGGTGGAAGTTCACCCAGTCGGTCGGTTAGTTCATACTCCATAGTGTCACCCCCTGCTTTACTTCACAAATCAGGGCCACCGCCCCATGGTTGGGCGGGTTCGGATCTCGCGGCACCCTTCAAAGGGCATCCCTTCCTCCTTTTGGTTCGGAATAGCAATAGTAGACCCTACTCCCGACAATTATTGTAATTACCCGGGGGGGGGATGGGAAGGGGAATGGGAGTGCTCGACTGTCCAACCTCCATACTGTATATAGGTACCTACTGTGCATATTGTACATACTCGTGCTGTACTGTACAATAACCACTTTCCGTGTAATCTTAAGCCGTAAGCTGTAAGCTGTCGTCCGTAGCCAACCTCCATTGCCATTGCTGTTCGGAACAAAACACAGGCACCCGGATAGTACGGTACTGTAATTACCCAGAGCCTAGAGCAACTATCACTATGCAGATGAGATGATCGAGCATGGCCCATGTCTAATATATTGGGCTGGGCATTGGGTAAGTTAGACTCGAGTGTCTGTCAGTGTTAGTGTCAGTGTTCTTGTAAAGGCACGGCACTGTTGACCCGTTATCAGATTCAGTAATATGTACCATGGATTTGTCAAACTTAGGCGGCATTCCCAGCCTTGTCCTTTAACCAGAAGGCTGGTTTAGGCTATACTATACTATACTATAGAGCATGCGCTCCCCCTGCCACCCTTTGATCATGAACAAGGAACATTTTCGCCCTTCAACCTTTTGACAGGATTCTTGCCCACTAAATATATATATATATGTAGTAATCAGATCTCCTGGCTGTACTGACTACAGCCTTGCTTAGTATGTCAAGTCCAACTAGGAACTAGATTTACCTGGCTACACAGACCACAACTAGATCTCCCTATACAGACCACAACTAGATCTCCCTATACAGACCACAACTAGATCTTCCTATACAGACCACAACTAGATCTTCCCCGCTATATGCAATGCGGCGCGATAGCCAAAAGTCAAGGCCGGCCCAATACTCGAGCCTCCGCCCGGATAGGTGCCGCGCATGACCGAGTTCTGATCGAGGCCGACGGCGTAGAGTCCTGGGACCGGCACGCCCTCTTTATCCAGACACTGGGCATTCTCGTCGGTGGTCAGGCCGTACACGGTACTGACGTTGCCCGGGTAGATGGGCAGGGCGTAGAACGGCGGGCTCTTACACAGACCCAGGGTAGGATTAGGCAGGCCCGTGGAGGGATCTCCCAGCATCAGATCGTAGGCGTTCTCTCCGCGGTGGAACTCGGGATCCCGCCCTTCCACCGCATATCGATTGCACGCCGCCACCGTCTCCGACAGCTTGTCGGCGGGGACGCCGATCTTGCCAGCCAGCGTGGCCAGGTCCGGCGCCTCGATCAGATAGCCGGAGCGAATCAGGTGTCGGACAGGGTACGGGGCCGGCAGGCCGATGCCCATGCCGTATTTGCGCAGAAAGGTGCGGTCGGCGAGCAGATAGGCCTGGTCGATGCCCTGGGCGTGCATGTTCTTCACAAATTCCTGGTACGGCTCGGATTCGTTCGCGAACCGCCGCCCGTCGCGTCCGACGATGATGGCGCCTGGTTTGGTCCGGTCCTGGGAGAAGTGCGGATACCGTCGGATCTGCGTGCCGCCGTCGCGCGTCTTCTTGCGCAGCAACGAGATCGGCGCGTAGATGCCGTTGTCTGGATTCGGCGGAGGCATGGCCGCGCCGCTTTCCCGCCCGATGCGTAGCCCGTCGCCCACGTTGTGTTTGGGACAAGCCGACCACTCGTGCGGCAGATACTTTCGCGCCTCGTCCGACCGCCCGAACCCTCCGCTGGCGAGCACCACGGCCTTGTTGACGGGGATCTGCTCCTCAGCGGCGGTTGTGGTGGTTCCGGTCTGACTGTTCACCCCGACCACCACACCGCTGACCCTGCCGTTCTCGTCCAACACGGTTCTCAGCACGGGGGCATTCTTGCGCAGCTCGACGCCCTCTCGTTGGCAGCTGTGCAGCAGCCGGCCGACCATGGCGTTCCCGTTGGCCAGCTCGGAGCCCTTGCCGTAGCGCAGCACGTCGACCACGTACCGAACCACTTTGCTGGTCGCGAAGTGGAAGTTGCTCCAGCTGCCAAACGGGTGGGTCAAGGCCGGGATGTCCCACGGCCGGGCTTGCATGGACCCAAAGGCATGGAACCCCTGCAGCGTATACCGCACGTCCCGCAGGGTCTGTCGGCCCAGGAGGCGTCCGTCAAAGGCCTCGACCGACACGGTGCGGCCGACCGACGCGCCCTCCTTCGCCACGTGGTAGTCGGGAATCGGCATGGGCGCAAACTGCATGGCCGAGTTGGCCTCCATCCACTCCACCATCTCGGGCGCGCTGGCCAGGAACGCCTGCATCTTCTTGTGGTTCTTCTCGTCGTACAGGTCGCCGAGAACCCGCCGCACGTACGTGTCGGCCTTGTCGACGTCGTCTTCGATCCCCAGCATCTTCTGGTATTTGTTCACGGGGATCCAGGCCCCTCCAAACGAGAAGGCCGTCGTGCCGCCGAAGTAGTTGCTCTTTTCCGCCACCAGCACCTTCAACCCGTGCTTCGCTGCCACAATCGCTGCGCTGAGTCCTGCGCATCCGGATCCCACCACCACGACATCATAACCAGGCGGTTGTCGTTGCACCGACGCCCTCCGTTTCTGCGTGTACGTGCAGCATGTGATGGGGGCCAGAACGCCTGAGCCCTTGAAAAGGAGAGACGGTGACGGCCGGGCCTGGTGCGGCAGCCTAGACAAGGACATGGTGAACCACCGGCTGGAGGAGTGATTGTGGTTGTGGTTGTGGGTGAATCTCCCCAAGAAGAGAGAACAGTCGCAGCTGCTGTTTAGCGGTCGCGGCGCATGACTAGATTCTGATTCTGATTCTGATTCTGATTCTGATTCTGATTCTGATTCTGTTTTTTCCGTGCCCGATCCTTGGCTCTCTCTTCTCTTCTTTTCTTTCCGTCCGTGGCTGGAGTGAGGGTGAGGGAAGTGCGCATAAAGGTAAGGTAAGGTAAGGAAGGCAAGGCCTAACCACTCGGTAGGTACAAAGAGCACAGACTGTTTGACATGTTAACCACCATACAGATGATACATGGATGACATGACATGACTTACGAGTGACCTGATGACGATGTATGGAGTAGAGTTGTCCTCACCTCAGCTTTGATCTCTGGCCTCGTAGTTGGTGACGGTGACAGTGCCCGCAACACCCGCTACCCGGACAAAACAGGACGCTTTAGTCAGGGGAAGGGAAACAGCCTATCAGTAGTAACCTATGTGCTGCATGCACGGAGTACTGCATGTGCTGCATACTGTACTATACAGTCAGCCTTGGCCCCGCGGGTAAAAAGGAGCCGGACGGAGGACATGGACATGGGCCGTGAGTGGCTGACCCCGACCCCCAGAAACTCGGTTCGGGTAATCGGGGCTGGGGCCGTCGCGGCAATGTCATTTGTGGGTACCGTGTACGGTACAGTACGTACACCACGTGCAAGGCTGAGGAATCCCCAGGGGCAGGGGGGCTGAGCATGTGCCCGCCCGCCCACAAATGATGAGAGGCGAAGTATCCGTGTCCATGTCCGTGTCCGTGTCCGTATGGATCCGTACTGGTCGGTATGGGCGGTGTAGTCTAGATGACAGGCCAATCGAAAGCACAGGTGACTCAGATCGGCCAGATATCCCATCGGCACAGTTTAGACCAGTCCCATGAAATACGTAGATCAAGTCAACCAGGATAGGACCAGGACCAGGACAGGACAGGATACTGAACTCTAGATACTGTCACGGTGTATACAGTGCGGAGTACGTGGTTGAAAACCCTTCAAAGATGCCTATGCTGATGCGCATGCAAAATGTTTCTGAAATTAGATGATACTGGACTAACAGTAGTAGTAAGTAGTAGTATGGTACAGTACTACATATCCCGATTCCCTCTGGCGCACAGCTACAGCCCGACTCCCGCCTCTTGCCTCTTGCCTCTTGTTTTCTATCAAGAGCTCGACCATGACCATGATAGTACGAGACTGTAGTAAGACAATACGTTATAGTAAGTCGAGACTGCACAGAAGACGTTATAGTAAGTTGCGGATAATATCAGACTTTCCTGTCCTGGCCTGTCCTGGCCTGTTCTACCTTCCTAGCCTTACCCTAAGCCTTGTCAACACCGTTCGTCTCAGGGACCGCAACCTCCACCGACCGGGTGGAAATGATGCTCTTCCACTCTCCAGCCTCCCTCCACTTGATGAGGGTTCTGCCATAGTCGGTGACGCCGCCGGGCCACATGACGCGTTTGGCGGCCAGGGCCAGTTCCTCGGAGGTGCCAGGCGGCTTGACCTGGGCGTCTCCGTTGAAGTAGCCGGGGGTACAGATGGGCAAGGTGGTCCAGAACAGGGCGCGCTTCGCGAGCTGATCAGTCCAGGCGTCCTCGGCGGCCTTTGACGTCTCGACCACGGCCACGGTTTTGCGTGAGTCTGAGTTTGAGTGTGGGGCCTGACCATTGATTTCGGCTTGACCTTGATCTGGACCTTCTTTGATTCCGTTTTGAACCTGACCTTGCCCTTGACCTGTGGATTCATTTTCAGCAGCAGCCTTTGCCACCGCCTTGGCCACGATAAAGGCCAGATGCTGGGCCTGAAAGTCATACAGACGAGTCAAGTTGGAGGAGGAGGCCTGGCCAAAGACGCCCTGGAAGAACAGATTGGGAAAGCCGTGGGCCATGAAGCCATGCAGGGTGCCGAAATCGGCGGGGTCGTTCCACTTCTGGTCGAACACACGGCCGTGGCGACCGCGGATCGGGGCGGCGGCGCGGGTTTCGGCGCTGGCGTAGGGCGGCACCTCGAAGCCGGTGGCCAGGATGACCAGGTCGACGGGGTACTCTTGGCCGCCGGCGACGAGGCCGGGCCGGTTGCCGGTGGCGGTGAAGCGGTCGATGCCCCGGCCGTCCATGTCGACCAGGTGGACATTGGGCCGGGTGAAGGTGGGCAGGTAGTCGTCGTGGAAGATGGGCCGCTTGCACCAGCCGGGGTACCAAGCCTTGAGGTTCTCGGCGACCTTGGGGTCGTAGTCGGCCACCAGGCGGTCGACCAGGGCGCGGATGCGGTTGGCGCGGTCCTGGTCCAGCTCCATGAAGTAGGCGACGTGGTCGGCCACCCCGTCCGGCGGCACCGGGTCGTAGCCAAACTTGCCCTTGCCGCCCTGGAAGGCCGCCCAGCCGCCGACCTCGGTCCAGCCGTCGCCCACCAGGTTCTCGGGCTCCGGGTCGTTGGAGATCCTCAGGTTGAAGTTGTCGGCCCGCGCGCCCTGCCAGCCGGGCTTGACGGCCACGCGCGTGCGGAACTCGTCGCGGTCCGTGTCGCGCTGCCCGCGCAGCCCCACGTACGACGGCGTGCGCTGGCACACGTACAGCTCGCGCGCGTACTTGGCCACCTCGGGGATCAGCTGCACGGCGGTCGCCGCCGTGCCCACCACCGCGACCGACTTGTCGCGCAGCTTGGTCAGCTCCGGCTTGGCCTGCGTGCCCCCGGTGATCGAGTAGTCCCACCGCGCACTGTGGAACATCTGGCCCCCCGCGGCCAGGTACTCGTCGATGCCTGGCACATCGGGCATCTTGGGCCCCGTCAACGGGCCGGCCGCGACGAACAGGAACTGCGACCGGATCTTCAACTCGACCACGCCACCGGAGTCAGGCCCCAGATCGCGCCGCACCTGCGTCGTCCATTCCACCCGCTCGTCGTCCCAGTCCATGCTGGTCGCCGTCGTCGTGAACAGCGCCTGCATCCCGTAGCGCTGGGCGATCCGCTCGGCGTGGCCGCGGATCTCTTCGCCGCGCGCGTACCGCCGCGTCGGAATGTAGCCCGTCTCCTCCAGCAGCGGCAGGTAGATGTAGCTCTCGACGTCGCACATCAGCCCCGGATACCGGTTCCAGTACCACACCCCGCCGAACCCGCTGCCGTTGTCGATAATCAGGATCTGCGACGCCTCGATCCCCGCGTCGATCAGCCGCGCCGCGAACAGGATTCCGTTGTGCCCGGCCCCGACGATCACCACTTGTCGGAAGTCGCCGTCGTGGACCTCCCGCTGTGTCTCGAACGCCCGCGCCCGCTCGTAGTCCACCCACGGGTCCTTGGCGAATTCGGCGTCGCGGATCTCCCGTAGGGCCAGGTATTGGTGCTCCGGCCGCGCCTTCCAGCGTTTGTCGGCCTCTTCCGCATACTTGTGTTCCAGCTCCTGCAGGTCAGGTCCCCCTGGTGCTGGTGGTGCGGCGACGGTGAAGCTTTCGGAGGCCATTGTTGGTGTTGGTGTTGGTGGTGGTGGTGGCGGTGGTGTTACTGTTGTTGTTGTTGCTGTTGTTGTTTTTGCTGTTTTTGTCGCTGTTGCTCTCTAGTTGATGAGGTTAGGGCTGGCGGCTAAGGTCGATGTCTGTCTGATCAGTGGCCCAAGGTGTCTGTATGAGTGTCTCCCTGTCCAGCTTGTCGGCGAAATCAAGATCGAGATCGAGATTGTTTTCTGGGTTCCAGTGATGACCTGTGACCTATGATCTATGACCGGAGGCTGATTTCAGTAATGGCTATACAAGAAAAGAACAAGGCAACAGCGTCAAGCAGTATTCACTGCCCAGTAAAGTCCTGGACTGTACTATCCCTAGGATCCTATTCGGAGGAAGAAAGCCTTTCTTTTTCTTTTTCTCTTCTCTTCTCTTCTTCTCTCCTTATACCCATCAAGGTGGATTAGATTCACTGAGATATATCCGGACCACAGGACCAGTACCAGTACCAGTATCACGAACTCCGGATCACAGGACCAGTACCAGGACCAGTACCATGAACTGTGCCCAGCATCCAGTGCTAGCTGGTAGTTCTAGTCCTGTTCCGAACTGTTCCTAGCATCCAGTGCTAGCTGGTAGTTCTAGTCCTGTTCCGAACTGTTCCTAGCATCCAGTGCTTGCTGGTAGTTCTGGCACTGTTCCTGCTACTGCAAATTGGCAGTAAAGCAAGAACCTTCCCACGTACCAACCAGCTCCTGGCGGGCCGAGGAGGGAGGGGGAAATCATTTGCATAGCTAGCTAGCTAGCTGTGTGTGCTGTGCTGTGTCTGTGTGTCCTGTCACGGTCATAGGCCACCATGATTGCTGTTTCTGTGGGTGATTTGACCCGACGGAAGAGCACTGCACTGCTCTCATCCGCCTGGAAGTCCGTCTGGTCTGGTGTGGTCTGGTCTGGTCTCACTAGAGTCTTGCATAGTTTCCGAACAATGTTACGTGTACGGATAGGGCGTGTTGTGGCAAGGGGAAATCGGGTAAATCGCGTCGAGCCTCCCGTCGCGTCGAGCCTAGGTACAGAACAGTACCTGGTCGGCCTGCTCCGGGTATAGTGGCTCTAGTTTATCCGCATCACTGGCCAGTTTAGTTTAGTGTAGTGTACTGTCCTGTACTTTACTGTACTTTACTGTACTTTACATACAGTACCTAGGTATGTAAACCATGTCAGGTCACATGTAGTGGCTACCTGTTGTACAATACAGCAGTCTTTGGTTTTAGTACCTAGTACTCTAGTTGCAGCAGTAGCAGCAGGGACGTCGTTAAATTGAATTCAACAACAACAAAAGTACCTAGTACTCCGTACCTAGTACATTATAGACCTCGTCTACACAGTTGCTAATCCCCGTAGGCAGTATTACTTGTCATACAGCAGTCTTTGGATTAGTACCTATATGGAATACCTAGTACCCCGTACCCTGTACATTATAGACCTCGTCTACACAGTTGCTACTAACCTCCGTAGGCAGGATTACTTGTTATACTGGACCCCGTGCCACTACTATGTAGGAACCAGGCGACAAATGGAACACCTTGTGGACCACTATAGACCTCATATACACAGTTGTACTGGACCAAGTGCCAATACTACCAAGGAACATTGTGGACCACTATGGAACACTGTAGTAGACAGTGGTAATGAGTATAGAATACTTGGTAGACAGTAGTAATGAGTATAGAATACTATAGTAGACAGTAGTGATAAGTACGCCGTACAGCAGCGCATCAATCACCCGGCCTGGAACCCCGTCTGGCCATCAACACAGCCATAGAGTGGACCCTCCCTTGCAAACATGCGCCGCAAGTCAGACACCAGTTCGCGCGGACACTCCCAGGCGGCGAAATGGCCGCCCACGTCATGCTCGGCCTGGAACACCACGGGCCCCATGGTGGCGTCCCAGACCTTGGGCAGGCTGAGCACGTCTTTCTGAAACCGCGACGTCCCCAGCGGCACGTCGATATACTGGGCGGCCAACTCGGTGACGGGGGTCGGCGTGGACGAGTTCGCATCCAGGTGCACCATCTCGTAGTAGATGCGCTGGGGGGCGTCCGGGCCCGCGCGGGAGAAGCGGTAGATGGACACCCAGGTCAAGACCTCGTCGGCCGTCCACGCATACCCGGCCGTCCAGTCGACCAGTTTCTCGTAGATCCACGCCAGCTGGCCCACGGGGCTATCGGCCAGGCTGTACCCGATGGTCTGGGGCCGCGTCATGTGCTCGATCGCGTATCCCATCCCGCTGGCCTGGTGTTCCTGCGTCATGGCGAGCCGCTTTTGGTCTTTGTCGCTGAGCCCGCCGGCCGCCTCGATCGCGGCGATCACTTCGGCGTGTTTGGGGTTGTTGGCGTCTGGCGCGTTTGGCGTCGGCATGTTGGTGTGCTGGGCTTTGCAGGACCCGGGGTACTGGAGGGCCAGAAACCGGGTCAGGAAATTGCCAATGTCGCCGCCTTGTGATACTGGGGGTGGTGGGTAGTTGTCAGCATTGGAGAGACAGGACAGGCACAGAACAGGCACAGAACAGACACAGAGACAGGCATAGAACAGGCACAGGACAGACACAGACATAGGGAAGTATAGGGCAAGCACAGGACAAACACAAGCACAGAAAGTAAACGGCTTACCATATTCAGAATATCCCAAACTCTGCATCAGCTTATGGTACGCTTCGGCGTGTTGGGCGAGGCCGAATCCTTCCTTGAGGTTCCCCTGAGAAAAGCCATAGTCGATCAGGCTGGGAGCGACGACATGAAAGGCGGGAAAGTCCCGCCCGCCTTGCACCAGCTCGGGCAGGATCTTGGTGACTTCGATGAAGCTGCCGGGCCAGCCGTGCAGAAAGATCAACGGGATGGCGTTGGGCACGGAGCTTTTCTGATGGATGAAATGCACGTTATAGGTGCCGAACCCGTCCACCTCGATGTCGGTGGTGAACTGCGGGAGCTCGTTGAGTCGGCTCTCGACCGCGCGCCAGTCGAACGAGTGCAGCCAGTGGTCGACCAGCCCTTTCACCTCCTGCAAAGGGGCGCCGCGACTGCGAGGCTCCTTGAGCGGCACTTCGTCCGGCCATTCTGTCAAGAGGAGTTTCTGCCGGAGTCGGCGGAGCTTTTCTTCTGGGACGGCGATCTTGAACGGGACAGGAGGGGACATGGTGATTAGCAGGTATGGGTATGGTACGAGTCTGGATATGGGTATAGGTATAGATATAAGTATGGGATGAGGATGGGTACGGGATGAGTATGGGATTGTGACCAGATATAAGACTAGGTGGTGAGAATAGTCTTTGTGTGGACACTCAGCAAGTAATATGATGACATAGGTAGGTGGTAGGTAGGAGCGGTGGGATCTATGCTGTATGTACAGACTCTATGTACGTATGTATTTGATCTCCTCGGCGGAACTCAGATTCTTACTAATTACTATATCCCATGTAGGTGACATGTATGGACACTTTGCAATCCGGCCAGTTTACGGATCCTGTACAGTGTACAATGTACAATCCACCACAGAATCATCCAGGTTATGCCGCCGCAGTGAGGGGAGCGGGGACTATAGTTCCGGTCCGTTTTGTGGGTTGGGGTTGCGGTTCCGACCTTGCGCCGATAAACAAACCGACCGATCGGGCTGACAGTTTCTTAGATATACGGTTACGTGTTTGTAGTCTCTGACTATGTCTTAGATATACGGACGGTACGTGTCTGTAGTCTCTGTCCTCCGTACTCTGTCTCTACACACACACAGTACAGTATGATGCACAGTACAAAGATGGCGGAAACCTGACTGAGAGCACTACCACGACCAGTGCTGCAGTGGTAGGTAGGTAGGTACAATATACAGTATACCTTGGCAAATAGGATTGATTCAGTGTCAATGACTGTGACAATGACTGTGACAGTTCCAGCTCCAGCTCAACATCCAGTACCTGTACCTGTCCCAGCACCAGCACCAGCACCAGCACCAGCACCAGCAGCAGTACTAGTACCAATGACTGATCTCACCTGGAAGACAGACGGTCTACCCAGCTGCGTTCTTGTCTTGGAGCATGTGCAACGCGGCTTTGTGGCCGTACAGCATGCCGCGCATATTGGCCACCCCACTATTATACCCGGCGCCCCAGTCGTTGTAGAGGGCGGCATTTCCGGCGGCGTAGAGGCCCGGGACGACGTGGCCGGTGGCGGTGAGGACGCTCGCATCACGATTAATAGGCAGGCCGGCGGTGGGCACGCCGACGGTGACGCGCTGCAGCTGGACGGCATAGAATGGCGGGCGGGCAATAGCAGCAAAGCCAGGATGCGGCAGGCGGTAGTCGCCGGTTAGGATGGTGCCCCAGGGAAGCGAGGCGCGACCGAAGTCCTCGTCGACACCGGTCTCGCAAAAGCCGTTGAATCGCTGCACCGTGGCGGCGAGCCCGTCGGCGTCGATGCCGGTCACGGCGGCCAGACCCTCTAGCGTGTCAGCATTGACGCTGATACCCGCCGGCAGCGGCTGGCCCGGGTAGGCGGGCAGCAGGTTGTACTTGTCGACGAAATCCTGGTCGAACACCAGCCAGGCGGGCCAGTTGACCAGGCCCTGTTCCTGGCCGTCGTAGCGGCCGGCCTTGGCCGACACGTCCGGGTAGAAGGAGTCGTTGGCGAAGCGGTGGCCGCGCGCGTTGACCACGATCGAGTGCGGCGCGCCCGGGAGATGCAGTCGCCACGTGGCCTTGCCGTACACCACCTCGCCGGGGATCTGGTAGCCGACGAAGATGGCCGTCAGCGCCGCCGGGTGCGCCGGATACGCAATGGCCCCGACCGTGGCCGCCAGCGTTAAATGGTCGCCCGTGATGGTCGGCAGCGTCATGTTGCCCGCGTCGATGAGGCCGTCGAAGCTGCGCACCAGGTCGGGTCGTAGGTCGTAGCCGCCGGTGGCGAGGAGGACGCCGCGGCGGGCGCGAATGCGTTGAGTAGAGGAAGAAGAAGAGGAGGAGGAAGAAGAAGTGGATGAGGAAGAGGAATCCCGTACTATCGCTCGCACCCCCGTCACCCGTCCGTCCTCAACGACCAGCTCCACCACCTCGGTCGACGTCTGGATCTTCACGCCGCGCTGCAGAGCCGCATAGACCTGGGCGGCGGCCAGGCCGGCTCCGCAGCAGCGTTCGTCGGCCTCCACATGGCGCTGCAGGCAGGCCCCGACATGCTCGCTGCCCTTGACCTGCATGGCGACGAATTCGGCACCGGTCGCGTAGCTGTAACCGTCGCCGTAGGGCGAGGTCAGGATCTTGCCCGCCCATTCCGCCCCCAGCAGTTTCCGCGCCGGAAAGGGCTTGATCTCCAGAAAGCGGCCCTGCGGAGCTGACCCCTTCACCGCCGGGTAGTAGTAGTCCGGCAGGTCGCGCACCACCTGCAGCTCCAGGCCGATCGTGTCGGTGAAGTACTGGATCGCCCCGCGGCAGTCCGCCAGATACGACCGCCGGAGTTCGGGGTCGGCGAAGCCTTGCGACAGATGGTCGATGTACGCTTGCGCCGAGCTGGCCTGGTCGTCGATCCCCGCCGCCTCCGACACGTGCGTCGGCCCTGGCCACAGCTGCCCGGACGACAGCGCCGTCACGCCCCCGACTAGGTGGAACTTGTCCACCACGAGCACGCTGGCTCCCTGCTCGGCCCCGGTCAAGGCTGCAGAGAGACCGCCGACCCCGGACCCAATGCAGACAATGTCATATTCACTATCCCAACTCATGCTGATGTTGATGTTGATGTCTGATATCAGGCTGTGCACGTCAACTCAACGGGTTAGTGGGTGGTGTGTGCTTCTGCTTGTGCTTGTCTTGTGCTTGTTTGTCTTGTGCTTGTTTGTCTTGTGCTTGTTTGTCTTGTGCTTGTTTGTCTTGTGCTTGTTTGTCTTGTGCTTGTTTGTC